TAAATTCATTTTTAAAAATTGTCATCCAGATGTAAACCAAAAATGTTTTAACAAACTTTATTTTTAAAAAAAAATTGATATAATTTTTCAGGTTTTATAAAGTTATATGTCTCCAAAGTCAAAACTATGCTTTTTCAAGAAACATATCCCTTAAGATAACATATGAGGTATGAGAATATCCACAAATTGAACTGAAGACTTAGCTAGTAAACAATGGCACCCTTATTTAAAGTGTTCACATTGCTTATTTAAAGTGTTCATTGCATGTTATGTTAAAAATCAACCATAGAGTAATCTAATAGGGAAGTTTGCAAAACTTGGAGTGGAGTGTAGATGGATATTGGATAACCTGAGAATAAAGGGCGGATCAGTTAAATATAGAAAAAATCAGCATATACTCATCCAGAATAGTAATAAGTTACATCCTTTGATATTTCACTTTTCATTCAAAAGACTGGAGAGACCAATGGATCCATCTAGTTCATACTCCTTGTTTATCCCCGGTAAAAACGTCATATACACACTAGACGAAAACGCATCCAATGGACAACCCTATTGTGAAAAACGAACCTGACGGCAAACGAAAAGTCTGTCCGATAATGTACGCAATTGATATTTTTCGTCGTGTACCTTGAATATTATGATGAATTTCATTCATGTTATCGCGATTGTGATTGTTTCCAATGTATTACAGTATGTTTTGGCCGATTCAACCTAAAGAAGGTACTTCTAATTCTCCGTCAAAGACCAATACAAAATGCCGGAAAATCGAAAAATAATTTTGTTATTGGCTGGATGAAGAAAACTAGGAGACGAATACTATTATTATTTAGCGAAAAAATAAGCTTATGATGTGGGCTTTCTGAATCAAAAAAGATTGAAATTATTTTTTCATGTTAAAGGGGTCTAATTTATCGTTAAAGTAAGTGTTGTCAATGTAAACAAACATGTCGGCGAATTTGATTTCTCGTCTTTAAACAATGATATTTGTGTAATAGTTGAATACTATATTACGAATGTTAATGATTTAGAAACCCAATTTCAATAGCTCCATGCTCGTATATAACATTCTATATATCTCCCAATAATAATGAAATAAGAAGTAATTTTCTCAAGGGTAGTACAATTTTTTTCGAGAATCCAATGGATCAATCTTGATACGCGCGAGGTTATCACGCCACATCTTGGTGGGCACTATCGTGGGCGAAAGCTCATTGTCCAAATCGCTCTAGTTTGCGACGTTAAACACAGAAGAAAACTCACCCCTGGGGAAGGGAGCAACTGCAATTATCTATCAAATACTTCAATTGACCAAGAAATGGCAACTCCAATTTAATGTTACAAATCAATGCACATATTTTCTAAGTTCATCATCGTGCCACAGTGTAAATGTACTGTATGACATCCAAGGCAAAGTACTAACAAAGCCGGTGTGAAAGAAATTATGGTCCCCTGGGGATTATGGTCCCCTTTCCTAACGGCCCTTTCTGGCCCTGATTGTGTATAAATAATAAGGAAAATAATTGTAATCAGGTCACCATATAAATCAATAGAGATTAGATTTGATAGGACCACCTACGCTTTTACACTCTACGTGTAAAGTGATAGACTCGGCGGGGCGTAGTGGAAGATGACGGGACGTATTGGTCAAATTTGAAGAGATGAGTGGATGATTTAGAAACTGCTGCGTTTGATGCCCAAAAATCAAGACGTAGCGATGGAAGGTTGTAATGGGAGTCCATTCTGAAATTATGGGCGAGAATGGGTAAAAGACTGGCGAGATAACTTGACTTACAGTTGAAAGTTATGAAAATTTGCTTTATCTCACAGCTGGGGACCAAAACGCCGCTAAAACGGGGTACTTTGTACACGAAAACAATGTATCGACTGAAAGGTATTTCTGTGAAGCTTTGTACGGAACAAGTTTGAAGAAAAACTGTGAAGTGTGAGACTCACAATCCTTGATTTTCAAACACTGGGGTAGGTTTTAAATTCAAATTAACGGTTTTTCGGGACGGAGTGGTTTCGATACGTCCCGAAGAGATACTACCGTAATCATGTTGCAGGAGATTTTCTGGCTCAACCGTGACCATGTTAAATCTTGTGCAGGAGCCTGGCGCAACTATGGTATGTTGTAATGTTGTTTTCTTTTGTTTAAAGTGCTATTTTTCTGGCACTATCCTAGGAATTCAGTTGTCCAAGTTGTATCAATTTTCGATTTTCACACGGTTTATACTGTATGATACCATACTCATCAGTGGCCAGCCAATGCCATTAGATTGTAAATGTTATTCAATCGCAGATAATACAGCTACTAGTGTACAGTGCATCTTTATTTCACATTCATATTCAGTTTAATCTACTGCACTTTTAGCATTGTCACAGTTGTACCAGACTTTGTGATTGTAATTAGCATTGTCATGGTTGCACCAGACTTTTTGCTGGCATTTAGCATTACCGCAGTCGGTTGTTCCAGGAAAATAGCACTAAACGTAAACAAATACAAAAATGTACCACAGTTTCGCCAGACTTCCGCACAAGATTTTACATGGCCACGGTTGTGCCAGAAAATCTCCTGCAATCAGCATCAGGGCTGTCTCCCATTCCCAGACTTACATGTATGCAAAGCGCTGCAACGTTTAGGCATTTCAATTACAATGTACATGTAATGTTATTTGACAGATAATTTCATTTTAAATCAAACGTTTTCCACCTTCTTCAATGCATGTCTTCACAAGAATATTTCGAAGACTATTATTCGGGAAGATAGATTTGCCTCTCAAAAATAAGAAAAAAACTATGGAATAGTCTCAAATCTAATGCCCCATACCAATTCAGACTTCTTTTAGGGTTGAGATTATTTGCATATGGAGGATCAAATCTTCTCTCCAGAAAAATTTGGTAGACCCATGTTATCTTAGCCTTAGACTTAGGCTAAATTATAAAAATTAAACCCGGAAGTCCGGAAAAACATTGATTCTATCATAGTCACTGTAATGTACATAAGAATTATGTTTTATTGAATTAAAAAGTTGTATGAAGATTCATATCGAGAAAAACTTTTCCTAAGAAGTCTTTAGATGACTAATTATAAGCAATTAAGCGATAAAACTTGAGGAAATATGGCAAAACTGCCCTAATTCACGTCACCATACTAGTCAATGGGCAAAAGGGCAAACGCCTGACTTTTTATCTCGAGTTATAGATTTATGTGGCCTCACTGGCCTATCTGAGGTTCTAAAGCTATGTCTAAGCTACATCTTGACACTAAACTCAATAGGGGCCAATCATCTACTTTTTGAAATAATTGGTCAATTGTGACACTACCCCCTCTCTCTGCAGACACAAATTGAAATTCACAAAAATGAAGGCAAAATTAATACGCCACTTGACTCGAAATTTTCCTTCAGATAACCCAAATAAACGCATTTTCGGAAGAAATGGCATGTTGCCATTGCAAAAAGATTACAACTGTGCCTACATACTAGCTTACTGACTCGTCATGATCACAATTATGTTGGGACTACATTTATTTTTGAATACTACTTTTTTCTATTCAGCGGAAGTGACGTATTAGGGCATTTTGGCCTAATAGCCACATGGTTGGATGATTTCTGGCTTTAAATTGCGTTTTTCCAATTTACTAGAGTTTTTAAAGTAGTTTTGTGCAGTTTAAGAATATTCTGACAGCAATTATGAAAAATATGGCTACTTCATTACCCCTGGGGTCATTTTTCCAAGAACCCAATGGTTTTCCTTTAAATTTGACTAGTTTTTCATTTACATCATGAAATCCACTGCCTGATGGTGACCTTTTTCAGTATCGTGTCAAGAAATTGAGTATTTTATTGCATATTGCGATTTTTAGCCAAAATCACTGAACCGTGAACCAGAAAATTGGACAAATTTGGCCCACTTTTTGGCAAAATCTTACTAAAATCATCACTTTTTCATACTTTATTCCATTCAACAACCTCCTGATTTGAAAAATGATGACAAATTTGATCAGTTTTGACTCTGGCCTAGAGAATTGGGACTTTTGAGATATTTTTTAGCTCGAATGTAGTCATTCAGAGTGAACAAATACATCAAAAATTGACACTTAACTCACCAATTTCTGACTGCACCCCCGATATGTACCTTCTTTCTATACTGGAAACCATAATATGGAAAATTCAATCTTTATGATGAATAGCAGCTCGTTGGCTTCCCCATTTACGACAACAAATGACATTTAGGGGTCACTAAGGACAAAATTGTAGCCAAATATCGTCAAAATCAGTGGTTTTTGGGGTAAAAAGCGAAAACTGCTGATTCAGCAAAAACATTAAATTTGTTCATGAAAATTCCCCTTTTTGCCTCCGTCCAAAATATGTTTCACACTAATAAACTTCAATTATGGGCGATTCTGAGTAGTTTTAAAAAATTTTGGTCACTTTCACATGTGACTAATAGGCAAAACTGCCCTAATTCACGTCACCATACTAGTCAATGGGCAAAAGGGCAAACGCCTGACTTTTTATCTCGAGTTATAGATTTATGTGGCCTCACTGGCCTATCTGAGGTTCTAAAGCTATGTCTAAGCTACATCTTGACACTAAACTCAATAGGGGCCAATCATCTACTTTTTGAAATAATTGGTCAATTGTGACACTACCCCCTCTCTCTGCAGACACAAATTGAAATTCACAAAAATGAAGGCAAAATTAATACGCCACTTGACTCGAAATTTTCCTTCAGATAACCCAAATAAACGCATTTTCGGAAGAAATGGCATGTTGCCATTGCAAAAAGATTACAACTGTGCCTACATACTAGCTTACTGACTCGTCATGATCACAATTATGTTGGGACTACATTTATTTTTGAATACTACTTTTTTCTATTCAGCGGAAGTGACGTATTAGGGCATTTTGGCCTATGTAAAAAGTATTTACCGGAAGCTGCCATTTTGAAATCTATATTCAACCAATGAGAAGGCTCGTTACAAAATAGTTCGGAAACCGATGAGCGGTTGCCAGTGACAACATTTTTACTTTTTGAAAATTACTGTTAAAATTGCATTAACATCAAAATGGTAAGTTTTTTATTAACATACGTGTATACTTATGCTAGATAATTATCTTCAGATGACATCTGTCCATGATGAATCGCATATTTACAATACAAAGTGTCTCAAAAACGGAAAATCAGTTCCAAATTTTTGGAAGTTTTTTTGAAAATAAATTGAAAAATCGAAATATTTTTTTTAGGAATGGGCAGCACCTGTAGTTTCAAAAGAAAGTAATGATTATCAATAATTAATTTTTGATTAAGGATGATATACAACTGCAGATGATACTGCTGTGCTACTGTACTGTGCATCTTCACATTCTGTTTTCTCAACGATCGCGATTGAATTTTATGCTGATATTTAGCATCGTTACAGTTGTACCAGACCTCGGTGGTTGTACATGTGTATTTAGCATTGTCAGGGTTGAACCATACTTTTTGCTAGTATTTAGCATTACCACAGTCGGTTGTTCCAGGAATATATCTTCTTTTGAAACCCCATGAAGCACTGACTGGTTCTTTTTTCGAAAATAACATGTTTACTCACTGTTCGGGAGATGCGTCGAACTTCGATGTATGGGGCTACTTCGACCAAAGGGTTATAAATTTGACAATTGCCGATGATTCATATTTTCCAGGATCATTCATCTTGATTATGCTTTTTCTTTTAAAAATTTTCAAAAACAAACATGTCATAGAATCGGATATATAAGCCAATGACCAAATGGCCCCATGGTCGAAATAGCCCCATGAAGAAGTAACGTTCATACATCAAAGTTCGTTGGATCTCCCCTAATAGGCTCTTAGCATTATTCCGCCTAACCCCCGGCCTAACCTCCGCGAGAGAAAACTGATGACTGCGAAACAGTTGTTCAAAGAAATTTCCAGTGTGCAAACATTTCATTGATTCTATATATACAATGAGTATATATGGGATATACTAACTTACAACCAGGATGGTATGAAATTTCTTTGAAAAAATGTATTTAATAAGATCTAATGGTCACCTCTTATATCAGGATTGGTCTCCTGAGTAAAGTACTTTGAAATCTGACAGTTAAACGTATGTATCTTTTTTAGGCAAACCAAGATGAGAGGTTTGCATTCATCGTGGAGTGGTATGACGGTAATGCTGCACTCATACGACGATACCAATTCCTCTACTATTCTGCTGACTGCACAGTTGAGATGGTAATAACATTATTACTTGAAATATTCAACTAAAATTTTTAGGTTCTGTGATATTGGTACAATACATGTACATTTGTGCATAGGCCCAGGAACATGTATAATTTAAAAAAATTCTTCTCTCAGCCAGTCTCCAATTGGACAAACTTTGATTTGGGATCAATTATACACGTTCTTTGGCCTATATTCCACAAAATTCTATACATTCAAAAAAGTTAACTATAGTATTGTGATTGTACCCTTTCCATTCCTTTGACTTCACTTCTTAAAAGAGAGCTTCTTCTTCACTCTTTCAAACTAAAATAAACCTGTGAACTCACCGCGCCAATCAGTGTTCTTCGGCCAAATTTGACCGACGTTCTATATATGGTCATTCCTTCTGACGTCATCGTTGAGCCCAGAATTGGCCAATGACATACGCATTTGGCGTATGTTTCTTCAAGCTCGCTGAATGGTGGAAGAAAGGCCAGTGCATAGGTCAGAAGTGATTTATTACCCAAACTGTCACCGGTACCCATCGTGGGGCCGGGGCTACTAAACTGTAATATGGTCTCTACTAGGCAGAGTGTAGTTTAACTAGACTCTGCACGTGGGGCATTGTGATTGTAATATGACACTGACATGTTTACTGCAGGCCTGTCAACTGTCCCGCAATCTGCGCATTTGTCACGCATTTGCTGAAGAATTTGAAGTCACGCCAGTTATTTTTGCGTGACAGAAAATGTCACGCAAATACGCATTTTACCTGGTAATTGTCAAGCCAAATTATTGCTGTAGAAAAATTTCTAAAAAAGTTCGTCTTCACAGCAAAAATACGAACGCCGAAAAAAATTGTACGCATTTCGTTCGGACTTTTCACGCGAATTACGTATATGTCACGCATTTCGTTCGAAATTTTTCTGAAGACATGACATCATTGTTATATTACTTCAACATTTTTTGTAGTATGACATCAAGAACAAGCGCATATTCCTGAAGAGATCAAGGCAAGACTCTGTGCGCCCAGAAGACCTCTATATCGGGAGCACGATCAACTTCAACTCCAGGCAGCTCAAGTTTGTAGAATATGGAGACGACTACACCAAACAAAGACTAAGCTCAAAGAAAGAAAAGTAAGGAATTTGAACACTTTTGGCTAGTCTTGCTCAAAGACTGTATCCATCCCCCCCCCCCCCCCCCCGTTACACTCTCTTTACCTGGCAATATACAGAGAGAAGGATAAAGGGGAGTACAGGGTCTTTTAAGCAAGACTAACTTTTGGCGCCTCAAAGTAGTGTTCCACTTAGAAGTGTTCCACTTACAAGTGGAATGGTTCACTGAACATTAAGTGAATGGGTCACATGGCTTTAAAATGTCTTGAAGTGTTCCACTTACAGAGGTTTATTCCACAATAAGTCAATGCGTAACATGACTTTAAAATGCTCAACTTGGAAGTCTTCCACTTACAGAGGTTCACTTCACATTAAGTGAATGCGTAACAATGCGTAACAATTCGTAAAATCATAGGCAAAGGTCGATAGAAATATTTTTTAAATAAAGATGGCATGGTAATCGATCTGTGTTTATTTATAAACATTGACATATGGAATTCAAAAACTACATCAACAACTCGTTGAGCACCTGAGAAAAAAAGATACTACTGGATTCTGTTGGTGCTGCCATCTTTATATCGGCCCAGAACCTATGCGTAAAATGTTCCCCTCTGGGACTACCAATAAAGGTTTTTTATATCTAGTTATTTGGTAAAGGTGAATCTACTTTGAAAAGTGTTCTTCTTTTCAAATGTTGCATTATACATGCTTTACTGTACTTTAAATATGTTGGAACAAAAATTGGAGTTCAAGTGTCCAGCATAATTCTTGGAAATAATTTTCAAGCAGTTGCCATAGTTTATAATACATGTAATAGGGTTTATGACATCATAGTTAGATATTTTTAGCTCCTGAAGATACATGTATGAGTTTTTTGAGAAATCTCAATCATGATAAGAGTGTTGCAATAATGAATAATGGATTACGGGAATAATTCAGGATGAGAGTGTTGCTTAGAAATTTTCAACTCATGTAAGTTAACTCATAAAGGTATAGGTAGCTGTTAAAATTGATATTAATTAATATTGTTATTTTACCAAAAAGTCATAAAGGAATATCTGAATATCAAATTGATATCAGAAGTATCTGCATTTGGAGTTGCTTCATTTTTAAAAAACAGGGACATTAAAGAGGGATCCTGTCTGCAATATTTTGTCTTGATTTCAGTGCACTGAACCACTGGACCTGTATATCTCAACATCTATCTAATCTGAACACCTCTCAATGTGAACACTTTTCTCAGTCCCTTTAATCTCTTATTGGCCAACATGTTGAAAAACCTTGAAATGTGAACACCTGCTAGTCCAAACACTCTTGGCCAGCCATGGAGACGTTCGGTTAGACAGGTCTTACTGTACCTACAATGTAAATATGCATCAAAATAAACTTTAAATCGATTGTATCTGAACTGAACTAACAATGAGTTTCTTATTGTGCATTTAGGACCCTAGCCATGATAAAACCAGATGCCATCTCCAACATGGGTCAAATCATCGACCTAATCTGCAAGACTGGCTTCAATATAACAAAACTTAAGATGGTGAGACTAACGAAGAATGAAGCTTTTGAGTTCTACCAGGAGCACCAGGGGAAACCATTCTTGGAGTAAGTACCAACTATCAGAAAATCATTCTTGGAGTTACCCAATATCAGAAAACCATTCTTGGAGTTACCCAATATCAGAAAACCATTCTTGGACTGAGTTACCCAATATCAGAAAATTATTCTTGGAGTTACCCAATATCAGAAAACCATTCTTGGAGTAAGTACCCAATATCAGAAAACCATTCTTGGAGTTACCCAATATCAGAAAACCATTCTTGGAGTAAGTATCCAATATCAGAAAACCATTCTTGGATTCAAAATTAAACAGCCGCTTAGAGTAAGTACCCAATATCAGAAAACCATTCTTGGAGTAAGTACCCAATATCAGAAAACCATTCTTGGAGTAAGTACCCAATATCAGAAAACCATTCTTGGAGTTACCCAATATCAGAAAACCATTCTTGGAGTAAGTATCCAATATCAGAAAACCATTCTTGGATTCAAAATTAAACAGCCGCCATTTGCCACTTCAGAATTTGAATAGTAATATTTTGTCTTATTTCCAATCAAAAAATTTCAAAACACACACGAAGTGATCAAGATATTAGTTAAAATATTTTGAATTGATGATTATGAATTTATAGCCATTTATAATGTCAGACAATAACAAACTTTTCATTGTTGACGTCGGTATTGCAAGAATATCAGCCATTCTCCTTGCAACTTGCATACATGTGTTCTTTGTCTTAGAAATAAGCACTGAAAAAATTGCCTGGAGATTAAAATATTGAGTTGGATCCATGGGATCTAAACCTCGTTGTGTAAGGCTCTGCCAATGTATTGTACATTTGTATAATATATCAATGTATTATACAATATGTCAATGTATTGAATAATATGTCAGTATATTGAACGATATCTTGTTTTAATAATTAATGATAAAGGAACCAATTGAAAACTAAAACTAAAAGACTTGAAGGACGATGAAAGGTCTTTTAAATCCAATGAATTTTGACATTTCGCCATCTTAATTCTTCAATAACATGTAGATTTGACCACATATCATTGGAAAAATGTACAATCCCTTCTAATTCTTTTATACTTGTAATTGATGTTCCATTTTCAGAACACTGTTGAGCTTTATATCAAGTGGACCTGTGATAGCAATGGAACTAATGGGAGATAATGCTATAGGGAAGTGGAGAGACACTCTTGGTCCAACAGACTCCTCTATTGCAAGGAGTGCAGCTCCTATGAGTATACGTGCAAGGTTTGGAACGGGTGAGTAATGCACTTTTGACATGTCTTGTTTCAGAGGTAGTTTGTACATAGTAAGGGACATCATTTGCAATTTTAAAAAACGTTCTCAAACAAGGGTGGATGAGGGGTCTAGTTAAACCAATGGATTATATCTTTAATTAGACTTTTGAGAGAACCTATAAATAAATACACTTAAAAGAAATGTGTATAATGCTTTTTCAATATGTTAATCAAAACAATTTATTAATTTCGTTAATTCAAATTATTATTCTCAATTTACAGATAACACTAGAAATGCTTGTCATGGCAAAACAATTTATTAATTTTGTTAATTTAAATCATTATTCTCAATTTACAGATAACACTAGAAATGCTTGTCATGGCTCGGATTCACCAATTTCTGCAGCGAGAGAAATTGAATTCTTCTTCCCAACTGCCGGAATAAATCGTCAAAATACAGCTCAGTTTAACAACTGTACTTGTGCGGTCATTAAACCACACGCAGTTCTAGCAGGTAAATATAGATGGCAGATACGTTGAAATATTGTGTTCTGATTGGTCAAGGGGATGATGTCACTTTATGAGTAAAAATGAGTGATCAAATCACTTTATATCACCACCAAAGTGGGGACATATTGTTATGGTCTCACGCTTTTTGTGACACCGGTTGTGGTCAGCATTCAGAGTTTGGCATTTATAACAATTTGCAATAACTTACAAGGTGGTGCAGGGGCATAGCCAGGAATCTGCAAGGGGTGTGTGATTTTTTGGGTTTGCATCACTGCAAGCCCTAAAAAGGGGGTATGGGGTTTCACTCTTGGAAATTTTTAAAAATTTACATTTTATATGGGGCATTCCAAGCATTGTGAACTATAATTTGTTAATGTTTTTATAAATTTTACAAAACTGCTTTTTTTATTTTGTTGGGTTTGGGGAGAGGAGTGGACGTAATTTTCACAAATGTGATTAATAAGACTTGTTTCCATGTGATTTTACAGTAATAAATTGACATGTCAAAATGAGGGGCAAAAAATGACATGACATATATTGATGTGTCATAAATTGACATGACATAATGTTTGAAGCATTTCTTTTTAGGTCAAACTGGAAAAATAATCAGCGCAATTCAAGACGCACATTTCGAGATCTCAGCCATACATATGTTTCACATAGAGAAAGCTAATGCTGAGGAATTCTACGAGGTTTACAAGGGAGTGGTCCAAGAATATAACAGGTGAATATCATATTTTCTTACTTACATAAAGGACCTTAGGAGGGATTATATATGGGATTTATCCTGCAGGGTGATATGATATACAAAAAACCTGTAAGGTGGAACACTTCGTAAGTGGAACACTTCTAAAATTACAAGTGAAACAACTCTGTAAGTGGAACACTAGCCTTGCCCAAGTAGAGACCGACTTGGGCAAGGCTAGTGGAACACCTCCATAAATGAACACTTCAGAGTTCCATGATTATTTTAGATAATGAATGGTAAATTATAATCAGAATAAAATGATAGATTCATTTAAGACATGCTGGGTAAATTGACTAAAATGATGACAAGAAGATTTTTCCATTTCACAAATGTTAAAACAACACCCCAAACTGATTTCATGCTTGGTCTTAATATGTTTTAATTTCATCATCTTGATCCGTTTGAAACATTTATGCACCTTACGAGTTATTAGGCTTGAAATAGAAATGTATATAATAGGAGCCTAGGACACCAAAAGGCCTTTAGTGGTACTAGACTATCATGTGTTGAAAAAACTACAAGTTGGGCTCAATGAAGAAATTATCTTACATTTGAAAGCCATGTCTTATTATTGATGCCTGGACCCTTTGTTATTTTTTAAAACTTTAATAATTAATAATTGGGTATTTCAGCATGGTAATGGAGGTCACTTCAGGCCCATGTATAGCATTAGAGATCAGAGCCCAAGATGCTCCTAATGTTTATAATATGTGATAATTGTATCTTACAGCATGGTGATGGAGCTCACTTCAGGCCCATGTATAGCATTAGAGATCAGAGCCCAAGATGCTCCTAATGTTTATAATATGTGATAATTGTATCTTACAGCATGGTAATGGAGGTCACTTCAGGCCCATGTATAGCATTAGAGATCAGAGCCCAAGATGCTCCTAATGTTTATAATATGTGATAATTGTATCTTACAGCATGGTAATGGAGCTCACTTCAGGCCCATGTATAGCATTAGAGATCAGAGCCCAAGATGCTCCTAATGTTTATAATATGTGATAATTGTATCTTACAGCATGGTAATGGAGCTCACTTCAGGCCCATGTATAGCATTAGAGATCAGAGCCCAAGATGCCCCTAATGTTTATAATATGTGATAATTGTATCTTACAGCATTGTAATGGAGCTCACTTCAGGCCCATGTATAGCATTAGAGATCAGAGCCCAAGATGCCCCTAATGTTTATAATATGTGATAATTGTATCTTACAGCATTGTAATGGAGCTCACTTCAGGCCCATGTATAGCATTAGAGATCAGAGCCCAAGATGCCCCTAATGTTTATAATATGTGATAATTGTATCTTACAGCATTGTAATGGAGCTCACTTCAGGCCCATGTATAGCATTAGAGATCAGAGCCCAAGATGCTCCTAATGTTTATAATATGTGATAATTGTATCTTACAGCATGGTGATGGAGCTCACTTCAGGCCCATGTATGGCATTAGAGATCAGACCCCAAGATGCCCCTAATGTTTATAATATTTGATAATTGTATCTTACAGCATGGTGATGGAGCTCACTTCAGGCCCATGTATAGCATTAGAGATCAGAGCCCAAGATGCTCCTAATGTTTATAATATGTGATAATTGTATCTTACAGCATGGTAATGGAGCTCACTTCAGGCCCATGTATAGCATTAGAGATCAGAGCCCAAGATGCCCCTAATGTTTATAATATGTGATAATTGTATCTTACAGCATGGTGATGGAACTCACTTCAGGCCCATGTATAGCATTAGAGATCAGAGCCCAAGATGCCCCTAATGTTTATAATATGTGATAATTGTATCTTACAGCATTGTAATGGAGCTCACTTCAGGCCCATGTATAGCATTAGAGATCAGAGCCCAAGATGCTCCTAATGTTTATAATATGTGATAATTGTATCTTACAGCATGGTGATGGAGCTCACTTCAGGCCCATGTATGGCATTAGAGATCAGACCCCAAGATGCTCCTAATGTTTATAATATTTGATAATTGTATCTTACAGCATGGTGATGGAGCTCACTTCAGGCCCATGTATAGCATTAGAGATCAGAGCCCAAGATGCCCCTAATGTTTATAATATGTGATAATTGTATCTTACAGCATGGTGATGGAACTCACTTCAGGCCCATGTATAGCATTAGAGATCAGAGCCCAAGATGCCCCTAATGTTTATAATATGTGATAATTGTATCTTACAGCATGGTGATGGAGCTCACTTCAGGCCCATGTATAGCATTAGAGATCAGAGCCCAAGATGCTCCTAATGTTTATAATATGTGATAATTGTATCTTACAGCATGGTAATGGAGCTCACTTCAGGCCCATGTATAGCATTAGAGATCAGAGCCCAAGATGCCCCTAATGTTTATAATATGTGATAATTGTATCTTACAGCATGGTGATGGAACTCACTTCAGGCCCATGTATAGCATTAGAGATCAGAGCCCAAGATGCTCCTGATGTTTATAATATGTGATAATTGTATCTTACAGCATGGTGATGGAACTCACTTCAGGCCCATGTATAGCATTAGAGATCAGAGCCCAAGATGCCCCTAATGCATTCAGAGAAATGGTGGGACCAGCTGATCCGGTAAGTTATATGATAATTTTTTGAAATGTGCAGTACACAGGAGTTCCAGGGATGCAGTTTGTAAAATGTTGGAAACAATATTTATAATTTTTCATAAATTATGCCAATTATTTCCTTAAAATCTAGTTAGGTTTTAGACATGTCTGAATAGTCAAAATATGTAGAAACGCAGTCTCCATGGCAACTTGCATTAAATAACATAAACCAGGCCAACCTGGCATTATGAAACTAGTAATATTTAGTAGTCCAAAAACTATGCCAATACTCCCATTTGCATATTTTGTGATGTCATGGGCATTATTTCCACTTTTTGCATTAAAAATTTTATTTTATTGTTATGAAAGTAATGTAGATGCCAGATGGTGAATAATCAAACCAAGGGCAAAGCCAAATCAGAAATTAGTGAGGTAAATGTAAATATAGGTGAGGCTCTTTGAGGCTAAAGGAGGAGTGGAGTTCAATTTAGCTGAATGTATATATTTCTTGAAAATTTGGTGAGGCAGTTGCCTCGACTGCCTCATGCCTCACTAAACCCATGTAAACTTTTTTATGTGTACTTTCAAGAGGTTAACTGACTTCTACTTTGGCGCTTCTAAATTTGGCGCTAATTATTTTGGCGGATTAGCTGTTTTGAACATTTAATTTGCAATATTGAAAAATATGGCGAACTTCAAAGGGTGCACTTATGAGCCCAATCTCATCCTTCTTGTTTGACTAGTAAATTATCATTGGTTCATTTAAAGTAGTTGAGAATGGATATATTGTTGGTGTTATTGTACAAAAGCGACGAATTTGAACAATTTTTTTTTAAAAGACATAATATTCAACTCAAAAATTTGGTTTTGATTATCCCCTGGAATTAAGGAATTTGGCGGCGACTTAACAATTTGCCCAAATTAAAATGGCCACCATATAAGGTAGAAGTATCGTACTAGTTTCATACTGATCATGGTATACATAAATAAAAATGCTGTGTTTGTTGCTCATTGATTTATTTATTATTTCAGCAGTCACTGTTCATTTAAACTATTAATTTAGAAATAATAGTTCTTCACAATAGATCATCACATTAACAATACCTTGAAGTATGTTACTTGGATGTCTTTATGTACTGTACATGTATATGCAACTATATAACTGAAAAAGGATCACACAAAAATGCAACCCTTTACTTTTGGAATTGTATAGGACAAAATTTTGCTTTTGCGGGAAACAGATTACTCATTTGAGAGCTTATACACATATCAAATTGAAGAATCGTCCACCTAGACATGCTCTCACTATTAACCATGTGTTGTTATCTTTTCCAAATTTAGTTAGCACACGACTCAAGATAGCTGATATAATATAACTTTCCAATTGATGTTCCAACAATGAGACGGCCCTGTTTGTCCACTACAACCCCTGAGGGGCCGACAATATTATCTTCCTTGGTCACCAATAGCTTGATAAACTTTCCATGTGAATTCAAGAGATGCACTGAGTTGGTGCCATAACTCGCAACAATAATGTTGTCAAAAGGATCAGTGCATGTTCCCCAGGGATGTTGTAGCTGAGCTTGCTTTTTTAGTCCTTCATATTGTATTAGAGTATCACCTTGTGGACCAATAACTTCCAAACTGTTGTTACTGTAGAACGAGAGAATGATCTCATTTCTTGAATTAACTGCAATACAGGGAGGGAGAAAATCATTATTTACACTAAGTGTATTGATTAAGGTTTTGGTTTGAGAGTTCATGAGTGATATTTTACCTCCAAAGTATGCTATCAATGTTCCATCTGGTGTGGCTGCAACTGACCAAGCCATATATGGCATTGTAGTGTCAATATTTCCATTATTATCAACCAATTTAAGAGTGCATGATTCGGAATCCAGAGCTGCAATTTGATTGTTTGGAGCTGAGGCAACATAACTACAATCCATCGTAACATGTAACTTCTGTTCATGTGTGACAGGGTCTATGATATTAATACCATCTTTAGCATGAGCTGTAACAATCTCACCATTGTCTAAAATAGCAAGATCGTGTAATTCAATATTTTCATCTTTGAAGGGAGCTACATCTTTTTCAATCTTAATGTTTTCTTTGATAATGTTCTTGAGCGATGAAACTTGGCCAAATTGCAGCCCCGGGGTCTTCGATGTCCCATATGTATATGTTAACTTGAACTTAGAATCAAAATCCAATTCTTGAGGTTGTGACCACTCCTCCGTCTTCTTTGTGATCTCTTTTCTCATGTTAATGATTTCAGCTGGGTGCCCATATTGTTGTTGGGTATCAAGGAGATGTCGTGTGCTTACTGTGATCCCATTTTGCATTTGGAGACTACTGATATGTGCATCTACTTTCTTTAAGCCTTCAGATTTAAATCTTTCCACCTTGGCTTCTTCTCCATTGTAGTATTTATCGATTAATTCATGTTGGGCTTGTCTATCTTTGGTTATCTTGGTTTTCATATCTGATGCATTTCTTTCAATTTTCTCTTTATAGTCATTCATTTCCTGAATAACTGCATTTACATTTTCTTCTCTCTGCAGAGATATTTGGATGAGGGATCTGATGTTTTTCATGTCTTGTTTGACATTCTCATTCAAATTCTCACATTTGTGTCCGCTATGTGTAGTTATACAACAATCCCTGCATAAGACCTCATTGCAGCTTCGACAGTAGAACTTAAATTGTTCATCGGGATGGGACGTGCAGAATTTCATTCGCTTTGGGATCATCTCAAGTAAAGCGCTAGTGTCTTTACGATCATCTCCAGTTATTTGAATAACTTTATGATCCTTCAACGCTTTAATGTTACTATGTACTCTGGTGCATTCTTTACATATATATTGATCACAGTCTATGCATTTGGATGTTGCCTTGACCTTTTCATCTTCGTTTAAACAGATGTCACAATGTCTGATAGTACTGTCACTTTCCTTTTTTAGTCGTCTCCGTAAGGTGTCTAGCATGTCATTGAGGATGTAGTTGCCCTTAAGGCCTTTGGCGCCCCCTGTTGGTGGTTCAAACTCAATGGTACAAACAGGGCATGGGCATTTCCCTTGTCCTTTTTGATTGATCCATTTGTCGAGGCACCCACAGCAAATCGTATGCATACAGGGAGTCACCTTGGGGTCAGTTAACAGTTCAAGGCATATCGGACAAGTGAGGACCTCTCGATATGTTTCCTCATCTTGATTTCCTGATGAAGCCATTGAAATACCTGAAATGTAAGAATGATGGAAATATTAGTTCTTTCTACTATAGTCTTTCATTTGGTTTCTGCTACAGGTAGGTGGAGGTATCATAAGTAATGGAAGACAGATATTGAATGATGACCAATTCATGGGTCCATACAGCCTAATCCAGCCATTATAAACCATAGGACATTGGAATTATGTCATCTAATCTGAGCCTACATGTAGATTTAGGCTATAGAGAAACAAAAACATTTACAAAAAATAAACAAGGCATTAACATGACAAAATGGCACCATCTAGTTGCTCACAATATTATGAGTTCAATCTAAGTCAGATTTAATTTCTGGGAACTTGTAGATGATTTAAAAAAAAAGATTGGTCAATTTGAGGCAAGTTGAAAGAAGACCTTTTTAACCTGGAGAAGGTCATTGAAGGTCAAATCTCAAATCAGATTTGAACTTTTGATAACTTGTAAACGATTTAAAAAATAAATTGGTCAATTTAAAGCAAGTTGAAAAAGACCTTTTTGACCTTATTAACCTTTTTTGACCTTGAAAGGGTCATTGAAGGTCAAATCTTAAATTTAAAGTCAGATTTGAACTTCTGAAAACTAAAATTGAAGTCAGTCTAAACAGTATTTGTTATTGGTTATTCAAAGTTGTAAGAATTTGTTAAACGCCAACTGCCACCAGCTGCCGTCACAAACATGGAGACCATAACAATATATCACCACTTTTTGGTGTTGACATAATTAGCCTTGTAGAAAGCGTTAGCATTTGTCAATTTTTAAAATTTGGATATCTGTTTCCAAATGAAACGGCTCTCAATTTGCTCTTCAGATCTCAAATTCTAGTATTGTCAAATTGAGAGTCTTTCATAAGGCTATAATAGGCTACTGAATGTCATTGCTTGCTTGAAGCCCCTGGACCAACCACCCTTGTGGTAAAATGGAGGAGGGGGTCACAAGGGCTTGTAGCTAGACTTTGTCAATGTTAAATCTGATCGTGTTGTGAAGTTGTGTTTCTGAAAAATTCAAAATGAAATTGAAATTTTGAAAAGCAGGGATGTAAATATGTAAAATAGCATTCGATTTTGAAAAATTATACAGATTGACACAAATTTTTGTTACCTGGCTATATAAACATATGCTAAACTCTAGATATTGTCGATTAAAACAGCTTTGTTGGCGATTTGTCTTTTACTTTTCTTTTGATTTTTTCACTTCCGGTTCAGAATAGTCTCAAAACAAAACTTAATCGCTTTGTTATGTCATTATCTAGTGAAATATTAAAGTAGTAATACAACAATGGCAAAATATTAGAAAACATTTAACATGTATTACACATAACTTTTCTTTTGTTATATTACTCAGAATATATGTAAATTAAAAAAGGTTTTGAGACTAGTTTGGTCATTGATGAACAAAGGATGGGGAGGGGTATAAATCTTACATGTATATCTATAGATTGCTTCTTTTAAAGGCCATGGTTTTTCTGGGATGAAATGTCTTGAGTTCAGATGTCTGTGGTGAAATATATCTGTGATGAAATGTCTTACAGGTGGTAAAACGTCCAAGGCAAAATTTAGGCATGATTTTTTATAGCAGATAAGATATGACTTAGACTTACTCACTTCGAGAGCCATGTTAGATTTTGAAACTTATGGCTCTCAAACGGAGAAGTGAACAGCTGATCAATAGTGACCTTTGAAATTGAATTAAGTCGATCCGCGGCTTACTTTTGGTCTCTAACTGTGTCTTACATCAGTATCATCAATCCGTGTAAGTATTGGAGCGCTGGAGTACTTCTTTTTCGATCAAGACTTGTAAATTGTTCATCGAGTTAAAGTTTTACAGACCTATTTCCAATATGGCGGTTTGCTAGGTGCGAGATACGCAACGAACGAAATGAATTTTGAGAATTAGTTAGGTTCGGACAACCTCCGGAGATTTACGAAAATGTCCGAGCAGAAACCGCCATATTGGAATTTGGCAGTAAAACGATTCACTCGACTAACAATTACAAGTCTTGATCGAAAAAGAAGTACTCCAGCGCTCCAATACTTACACGGATTGATGATACTGATGTAAGACACAGTTAGAGACCAAAAGTAAGCCGCGGATCGACTTAATTCGATTTCAAAGGTCACGATCATTGAGCTGTCCAAATGCTCCGTGGGAAAGCTATTATATCAAAATCCAAATAGCTTTCGCAGGAAGTAAACTTAGACCAGACAAGGATGTTTCATAGATTAGATCTATAGCTAATGGAAGCAATTTGTAAAGCCTGTAAATATGTCTGTAAGATGTATGCTCCTCAATGGACAAAAGTATATTGAATTCATATATTTTTAGGAAATTGCCCGACATTTACGACCGAGGACTCTACGCGCCTTATTTGGTAAAGACAAGATTCAGAACGCTATTCACTGTACAGATCTCCCAGAAGACGGCTTGTTAGAGGTAAATTTTAACAAAGAAATCCTGTGATGCTTATGTTTTAATAGAAACACAGTTTCCATTTTGTAAAATAACAACAACTCTCTCTTCCAGTTTTAATAACACTCGATCATGGGCATTAAGATTTTTCAATATTTTTGCTCATTCCTTTGTAATACAGTTTTAGAAAAAGTTCTTTATTTCATGATTTTATTTATTATAATTATATTATTATTTGGTATAATTCTAAAAACACTTTTCTAATTTTAAAGAGTTTGGACATATCTGAAAGTTTACCTTGAATTGGCCTGTGAAATAAAAAATATCGCTGTTATATAGTTACATCCTGAACATGTGGTACCACTTGAAATAAATAAGAAGGGATAGAGAGTTTAAAATGTTGGTAACAATCTTCAAAAAATCATGTCAATATTTTCCTGGCAGTTGGACAGTCATTTATTTTCTGAAAAAATTGGATCTGTTCACAATACTGTATGTAGTTAATTTGAATGTTGATGAGTTGATAATTTGAAATGTCCAAATTCATTAGAATTTTGAAGGGAGGGGGGGGTGTCAAATCGATGGATTATCCTGGAATAAAGTCAGAACTGTAAAAAATTACCCCCATAAATGTGGCGTCGAATTGGCGTTTTTTTTCTTATATTTTTATCATTCTTCACTAAAATATTAAAAAACGCCAATTCGACCCCACATTTATGGTGGTATAAAAAATAGGCATATCGTGGAATGATGATAGCAAAAAATATGATAAAACTGTCATAATTTTTTAGAAAATCATTTGTCGGTCTTCAACACTTCTGGTCCCTTTTAACTGACATGCTAACATGCTTTTGAAACATGGATATCATCATAGGTTTTAGACCAATATAAAGATGGCTACATTGCTGGAATTTTATAATATTCGCTCTTGAGAAGATACATGTATGTGAGACAGATGGATTGCACTGCCATCTTTATTTAAAAACAATTATATCATTGAAACAAATAACCAACAGTCAATACAAATTAACATAAAAACTTTTATTACTAGTAAGATTAATGTGGTAAGGATATTTTAGGGTATTTTAGAGGTCCAGCCTCGTAATTAAAGGTTCCAAGAGTTCTAGCTTAGATACATGGAAATCCAGAAAATTTGGAATCTTCTATCCTAAATCTTTATTTAGTACCCCTCATACATTTTTATCATATTCTTTGATGTATCGTAGAAAAATGTTCAAGATAATTTGGCTCATGAAGTTCATAATTTGTGATGCACATTTTTTTGTGCAGACATTAATAGTAATACATGTATCAAAAAAATTTAAGTCATGACATTTAAGCATCTAAACCTTTGTTCGATTAACATTGACATTTTGATGGGACCACCTTAGCATGGATATAATGATTAATGCAAAATAACATTTTTCTTTTTTTCTTTCCAGGTGGAGTATTTCTTCAAGATCCTAGACAGGTAACCATGGCAACTGCATGATTGACAGGACTGCTTGGGAATATCGATCTAAATCGGGAGAAATGTAAAAAATACAAAAACTGAAAGATGTCATGTTATTCGTTAGGCATTTACTGTACCCCAGTGCCAGTGGGACTGAGACTCTGAACTTGATAAGGATTCTGCAAAAAGACAATTTGAAAATGAAATATATATCTGAAGGACGTTTCTATTAGTATTGCCACTGTAACATTGTTTAAAATCCTACGTCACAAACTCAGAAAACTCTCATGCCAATCTTAAATAATATTAACCCAGGTTAAAATTTTCATTGCGATTCATTTGGTACCAAATGCTTTTTAGCCTGTGCATTTTATGCAAAATTTAAAACAGGATAAAAATGCAAAATTATATCAATCATTCAACAAGGTTACAGATACGTTCCAGATGTACTTTGTACAAGAATATTTATGCATTGGGTTCCCAATTAGATAGAAAGCCCAGGATTTATGTAAATATTTTTTATTGATTACTGATGATGTAAAAACTTTTTTTTGCTTCATCTCACTGTTAACAAATTGTACATACATGACTGATAGAAAATATATGAACCATAGTATTATTTATTTTGTTATTTTTATTCAAGAATAGTTTTACCAAGGTGCTAATAAGTAATCAGGGATTTCACCACCAGGTGGCTAATTGGGTCAGATAACATGGTAGGCATTGAAAAAGTTCCTCTAATGAATAGATTTAGGGCAACAATTTTTTTGTAACCCTTTTGATTTTGATAAGTTTACAACATGGGCTCTATGGGGAATCTCCCTAGCCTAGAAAGTAGTTTTCAGAGAAAATGTTTGTCTTAGGTCCGCATGTAAAGTTTGAAAATATTTTTTTATCATTCATTTACCATTTGTCATGACTAAAAGTTATTTTTGAAAAAAAAGTTGTGAGCATTTCATTTCTAAAATATTCAAATTTCCCGCCATTATTAAAAAGAAGAAATTTTTTATCCATCAAATATTTCAAAAAAGATTATCATTTTAACACCAATGCAAAGATTGAATAAAGGACACACTATTTCAATAATAAAATGCCATATTTAATGGGCCACTTCAATGTTTTAGCATATATTATATATTTTGCAACATGTGATGTCATTATGACTCACTCAGGTGGCAAAAACTTTGAATAAATTGAAAAAAAAATTCTATGGCAATCTTTACTAAATACGCTAAACTTCAATAATGAACCAATGTTGATTGTCTAACCAGGATAAAAGGAAGAATATATTATGTTTTAGATATCACTGTATCATTGGTTTCTATGAAAACTAAAATTTTGAAATATATTTTCTCTGGACCATTTTATTTATGAACTGATTTCAAAATCAGTTCAAAAAACATGCGAGGATGAATGCTATATGCATTGGTATGAATCGTGGCTTACTAAGATATGTGTGATCTCTAAAAGTTAGTTTTAAATAAATTCACAATTTTTTGAACAAAAAGTCCTTCAAAAACCACTTTTTGAAATAAAAAAGTTCCACATATCACACTTTGATAACATTGGGTAAGACTACAATATAAGCCAAAGTGGTTTAAACTTTATATGGGGACTTAAAAACATATAGTTCCGATTTTTTAAGTAAGAGAGTCCTAATAAATATTATGGTGTCATTTCCTTCATTGTAAAGGAATTAAAGGCAGAATCAGATCTATGGGGGTGACAAAATTACAAGCAACATGTACAATTGACCTACCAATCTGTTTCTTACAATCTCAAATATACAATATCTCTCTAAAGATTCACGATATTTTATAAATTGATGAGTGATAATGGATTTCAAACTGCAAAAATGGGTAGAAAATGTTTGAATTCTCCAAAATAATAAGAATGGTAACCATTCTTATAGAAAAATAGTACATTATTTTAAAAATCTTTAGTTTTCCTGATAAGAAAATAGACATGAAAAGGAATGACATACTAGTATGTCATTCCTTTTCATGTCTATTTTCTTATGTCATTCCTTTTCATGTCTATTTTCTTATCAGGAAAACTAGTAAGCCAGATTTATTCTAAAATTGAAACAATTTTTTGTTAGGCCTTGTTAGGCTAGATCTGATTCTCTCTTTAAAGTCCCCGATAAATCGGGCTACGTATACCGCCGTGTTTACATTAGGGGATTAGAAGAGTTTATTTTTTATTTAGGTATGCAAGCTACGTATATCAATATTAGGCCTTCATTCATGTACTCGTGTGCATGTAATCAGCATACCCTTCAATATTATGTAAACCAGGCTATTCAAGTATAATGTACACTATTTATGTGTGTACTACATACAATACAATTCCCTGGGAAACAAAACACAAATACGTTTTATATGTTCAAAATGAGCCATTTGATTGATGCAAACACTAAATAGCTTCATAAATAACATCTACAAAGTATATCTAATAGTAATTTTCAATTTCAATGTTGAAAATTCCCTGGTTAAGATTATATGGGAAATCATCACGAGACGAAGATCGTTCGCCTTCCTGGCTTACCTCTGAATCGTGTACCGGGCAATCTCTTTATATAGTTTAGCGAGAGCGGTGCGCCTGCGCAGTTTTAAACTTTGGCGCACAGTTTAAGGTGAAATTTTCATAGATTAAAGGCAATGTGTTTTGTCTTTATGTTGACCAAATATTATGTACAGGGTGACCCAAAAAAATGCAACCCTCCATTTTTTCAATATTTTTCTTAAATGGAGATAAATTGCTCTGAGATTTGGCACACATGGACTTCATTCAATGTGGGATCCTCTGGCAAAGTTTTAATAATCATAGTCTTATATTGATAGAGTTATGGTTGTTTCAAAATATGCAACAGATGTCGTCAATTTCGCTGAAAACAAACTTGCAATGTTCAAGGAAAACTGTTCATAACACGAATGCATTTTTCCCCATGGGTATGGCTCAAATTTTTGTAGCCATTGCTTATTGGAGTTCTGCAATTGTGGTAGGGTTATTTTCATCCAAATTATCCTTTAAGTAACCCCATATAAAGAAGTCAGGGGCATTGAGATCAAGACTGTGGGATGACCATGGGTTCTCCGTCCTAGGAAAGATCATCTTCTCATAGAAATGACTAGTGAGCCAGGCTATGCTATCATCAGAAGTGTGAGGAGAAGCTCCATCCTTCTAGAACCACTGTTCTTGTCTATTGAAGCCTCTATACCACTCTAGAACTGCCTTGAACTTCCTGGGAACGCAAATATTGCGATGTGTGTTAACAGTAACATGGCATTATCAACCTCAAATCAAAAGGGGCTGATGATTTCATGTTTGGAAATTGGCAGCCCAAGCTGTGCATTTAACAGAATGAATGGGGCCTTTGAAGCACTTCATCTTCAATTTGTGATCCCAGAACACATTATTCCTTGAGTTTACATGTTCAGAAAGAAGGGAATGTGATTCATCTGAAAACCTAACATTGGAAATGGACGACATTTGGAGCATATTTTGGAACGACCATAGCTCTATCAATATAAGACTATGGTTATTGAAACTTTGCCAGAGGATCCCACATTGAATGAAGCCCTTGTGTGCCAAATTTCAGAGCAATTTATCTCCATTTAAGAAAAATATTGAAGAAATGGAGGGTTGCATTTTTTGGGTCACCCTGTATATTCATAATGTTTGGTCAGTATAAAGACAATATATATTGCCTTCAAATCCCCAAAAATTCATCTTGAACTTCTCAAAAAATGAAAATGAGAGCATTTGTATTTGTTTTTATTGAATAACCCTCGCACATGTACATGAACATCAGACATTCCAGTTATGTTACAATCCCGGGGTTACAATATTTGTGAAAATGATACAGTATGTGAGATGTGGTTATGATTTGAAATAAGTGAAGCTTTTTTAGATTTCAACATCTATTGTATAATTTTAGACTTGCCTGCCTTGATGGGTAAAGACTGAAGTTTACTTGTGCCATATACTAGTACCATACTGCCATAAGCGTAGCTCTAACACTGTTAATAAGTTATATGGTTTTTGTTCATAAGTCGCATTTTTGAGTCACCTTGTATACTGTAGATACACTTAATTTCGCTACCCTTTTAATTTGACGGATTCGCAGATTTAAATAATCCACCAAATTAAAAATCCGCTAATTTTAGGATCTATTTTGGAAAATCCCCAGGGAATTTGTAATTTGCAAATAATTCACTTGTGTAAGTATTCCTATTTGGATACCAGTGCTACACCAAGACTTAGATCTACCAAGAATTTATGAATCTGAAATGCTTATTTCCAGATCAATGATAAAACTTGAACTCAGACATTCTAACTCCGCCAAAGTAAATAGCCACCAATATTTGAAATTGAGCAAAACCGCGAAATTAAGAAGTGTCAAATTAAGTGTATCTTGTATTGCATTGATTGACATGGTTCATTTGTTCATGTGTTAATCTTCCTAATTTAGTTGACACATGACTCAAGGTAGCTGATATAATATAACTTTCCCCTTTTTCCAACAATGAGACGGCCCTGTTTGTCTACTACAACCCCCGTTGGATTTGAAATCTGATCTTCCTTAGTCGTTACCAATAGCCTCAGAAACTTTCCTTTTGGATTCAAGAGATGTACTAACTTGTTGCCATTACTCGCTACTATTATGTTGTCAAATGGATCAATGCATGTACCCCAGGGATTATTTAGTTCTTCTTGGTCTTGTCCTTGATATTTGAACAGATTCTTGCCATTTTGACTAATACCTTCAACAGAGTTATCATTGTTGTAGGCAATAATGATTTCATTTCTTGAATTCACTGCAATACTTGGAATTATACCATCATCTTTCACACTAAGAACTTTTTCTTCTTTGGTTTTGGTTTTGGTGTTTATAAATGATAGTTTACCATCCTTGAACACAACCACTGTTCCCTCTGGGGAGATAGCAGTTGAATAAGCATCCACTGATGGCATTGTAGTGTCAATATTTCCATTACTGTCAAGTAGTTTCAGAGTGTTTGAGTCACCATCTACAGCTGCAATATGATTATCTGGAGCTGAGGCAACAGAACCACAGTTCATGTCAACATGTAGCTTTTGTTCATGTGTGGTAGGGTCGAGGATATTTATACCATCCTTGTGATGAGCTGTAACAATGTCCCCATTGTCCAAAACAGTGAGATCCTGTAATTCCATTTTTTCATCTTTGAAGGGAGCTACATCTCTTTCAATCTTAACATTGCCTTTGATAATATTCTTCAGCGACGCAACTTGACCAAACCGCAGCCCCAAAAATACTGATGTCCCATGGGTGTACGTTAATGTGAACTTAGAATCAAAATCCAATTCTTGGGGTTTTGACCACTCTTCCGTCTTTTTCATGATCTCTTTTCTCATGTTGATGATTTCAGCTGGGTGGCCGTATTGTTGTTGGGTATCAAGGAGATGTCGTGTGCTTACTGTAATCCCATTTTGCATTTGGAGAGTATTGATATGTGCATCTACTTTCTTTAAGCCTTCAGATTTAAATCTTTCCACCTTGGCTTCTTCTCCATTGTAGTATTTATCAATTAAATCATGTTGGGCTTGTCTATCTTTGGTTATCTTGGTTTTCATATCTGATGCATTTCTTTCTATTTTCTCCTTATAGTCATTCATTTCCTGAATAACTGCATTGACATTTTCTTCTCTCTGCAAAGATATTTGGATAAGGGATCCAATGTTTTTCATGTCTTGTTTCACATTCTCATTCAAATTCTCACATTTGTGTCCACTATGTGTAGTTATACAACAATCTCTACAAAGGACCTCATTGCAGCTTCGACAGTAGAACTTTAATTGTTCATCGGGGTGGAATGCGCAGAATTTCATTCGCTTTGGGATCATCTCAAGTAAAGCGTTAGTGTCTTTGCGATCATCCCCTGTTAGTTGAATGACCTTATGGTCTTTTAAGACTTTAGTATAAATATGTGACTTTGTGCATGCTTTGCATATGTATTGATCGCAATCTATGCATTTGGATGTTGCCTTGACCTTTTCATCTTCATTTAAACAGATGTCACAGTGTCTGATGGTACTGTCACTTTCCTTTTTTAGTCGTCTCCGTAAGGTGTCTAACATGTCATTCAGGATGTAGTTGCCCTTAAGGCCTTTGGCGCCCCCTGTTGGTGGATCAAACTCTATGGTACAAACAGGGCATGGGCATTTCTCTTGTCCTTTTTGATTGATCCACTTGTCGAGGCACCCACAGCAAATCGTATGCATACAGGGAGTCACTTTGGGGTCAGTTAACAGTTCTAGGCATATCGGACAAGTGAGGACTTCTCGATATGTTTCCTCATCTTGATCTCCTATTGAAGCCATTGAAATACCTGAAATGTAAGAATGATAGAAATATTAGTTCTTTCTACAGTCTGTCATTTGGTTTCTACTGTAACAACCCTGGGTTGTTACTTTTTATATTTCATGCCCAGTTTAATTATTTCATATAGCTGTTAATGTAAATATTTGTATTTCAATTTATTGTAAGGTTTAAAGGTCATTTAAACTTTTTATAACTTTTGAATTTGGTGCCAAAAACTTCAGCCTAGTTTAGATTAGCCAATCAGAGCACGTCTTATAAAAGTGTTTGGAGGCGCACGTGAAGAATTTGGGTTGACAATTATTTTATATTGGGCGGATTTTAATCGTCTCAAATGTAGGACTTAAGGTCCTAAGATAGGATAGGATATAATTCTGTTAACAATAAATGGACTAGGATAAGATAGATCAAGTTAAATAGGGTAAGGAAGTTAGTATTGAACAGAAAGAGACGGCTAAGTCAAGTGACCTAATTTTGCAGAACTTTGAGAAATTCTACATCATTTCTTAGTTGCTATTGTTGATTCCAATCAGATATATTCAGAATTATGTCTCCTTTTTGTTCTGTGAATATTACCAGCTTAGGGTAGCATAGTAATTTTGCAAGGTCTTAGTTGAAGATAGATATTCATAGCCATGTGTGTACTTTTATCAGTTTGAACATTTGCCAAAAGGTGGCACTAGTGTTGTTAAGCATCTACATGAAGTAGTTGTGTATTATATAAGGTCAGATTGGTAAGAAGATTGAAAACTGTTTTGTTAGGTATTTACAGTATCTTGTTTGATATACCATCTGAATGGCCTTAGTTTCATTGTAAAAACTCATTGTACATATTTCATACTTTTAGTTGGTTACATAATATATATATTTTAATTCAAATCATATTTTATGTTATTATTGAGATCAGTGTGACAGTCAGTTGTCAGTAGAGCAGATTAGAATTCATAACAACCAACACACTCCCTAGTCAAGGCCATATACACGCTACCACAGAAATTTCAAGTATATTTGTAACATCTCTTATTTTATGTAACGTCAGGCTAGGCGAGTGTGACCCCCGGTTGTTACACTGGTTGGCAGCGTCGGGATTTTGTTAGGTTCTGCCCTATCAAGACCCACAGTTTTGTACTTTTTGTGAAATTTGTATTATTTTCTTTATTTTTACCATATGTAGTGGTTACATTTCATTAGTCAGGTATTTTCATATTCTGTTAGGTCAGTTTGAATTTATTGTACACATTTGAGACGATTTAATCAAAAGCACAACAATGGGTATAAATCTCCCTCCAAATGCCTCTAATAGTGAAAGTGGACTTATTCAACCAGCAATTAAACTTAACACATATGATGGCACTGATTCGTTTGAGGACTATGTTACCCAGTTTGACATCATATCATCATTCCTCAAATGGGACAACGATACAAAAGTTGCATATCTCGTATCATGTTTAAGGGACAGAGCACTTTCTGTACTTTGTGCTATGGACTCCGCAGATAGACAGGATTATTCTAAAATAGTTCGCAACATCTCCATCTATTGTGACAATTCTCTACAGCATACATTTGAGTTCTACCTTAAGAAGCTGCAAAACCGGGTACGTTTGCCAGGTGAAACCCTCACTGAACTGGCACACGACATCAAACGCTTATCCCGTGGAGCATATGGGGACAATCAATACAGAGATATTATTGCTGTGCAAACATTTATTGATGCAATTAATGATATTGACTTAAGCTGGAGTATCTGCTCTAAAAACCCTGAGAATATTGAGGAAGCCCTAACAACTGGACTACAATATGAAAGTCATTTTAAAGTTAAAGAAACCATGGAACAAATGCCTGTTATTTCTGACAATGCTTTAATCGAAACTGAACATTCTTCGCAATGTAATGCTCCAGTAAGCTACAAACACATGAAAAATGACAATGACAAAATGCAGCATGTTACCAGAGGGAGAGTTAATTCAAAGAGGAATCCGCCAGCTTTAAACAAAGCCATTGAAAGGACCCCTTCTGCTAAGAATGAACAATCAAATATTGATGATAACTGTATATTACATGTACCTGACTATAACGTGAACTGTAAAGATAGGTCCCATTCATATAAACGTAAGAAACACTTGTGCTACAACTGTGCTTCTGCTACACATATATATAGGAACTGTCCGTTCAAACATGTTCCTGTGACTAGCATCCTGACATAACTATTAAATCGAAGTCATCGTGGATTATGCTGAAAAATCCCGAAAATGTGCTGTATCTCGCCATTGGATTGCGTAACCATTAGTGATAACATGTGAAGGCGGGTGTATGTTGATTACACTGCCCATATAAATATATATAGCTGAATAATTTCAACAATATGGATCATCAATCTGTGCATCATCTTCGTTCTCAGCTCATGTCCTCAATCATCGTAGTGTATATACTGTACCTGTATGTGACATCAACACTTGGACAGTATTGCGTTTTTGACCGATCTATCAGCTGGTCTGATATTGGAAGGAGTGCACGCCTTCCATCTTTGGAATGAAACTTACTTTAATAACTGTCGCTGTACCATATATTAACATTATGAAGAGGACATCTACATCAGTGACAATCCAGCTAGAGACTGAGCTCAGAGACTGTTAATCTTTGACAATTTGTAGTGATCCAGTATTTTGCATATATTTTGTATAAATATCTATATTTTGTCCCTATAAACAAAAAGTACAGGTTTAACATGTACATTTGGTACCCTAATATAATCTGATGCTATGCTGATTAATGGTATGTCACACAGCATTTGTGTAAAACATTTTATACTACTACTTTGTTTTGAGACATTGTGTCTTATGTAATTTTCACTGAGCTTGTGGCTCATATATAAGTATTGTGCCACATGATGTATGTATTTAGTCCTCTATGTAGCCATTTTATACTTTTGATCAACCGTAAATCGAGGACGATTTATTTTTCAAATAAGGGGGCAGTGTAACAACCCTGGGTTGTTACTTTTTATATTTCATGCCCAGTTTAATTATTTCATATACATGTAGCTGTTAATGTAAATATTTGTATTTCAATTTATTGTAAGGTTAGCAAGGACTTTTAAACTTTTATAACTTTTGAATTTGGTGCCAAAAACTTCAGCCTAGTTTAGATTAGCCAATCAGAGCATGTCTTATAAAAAGTGTTTGAGGAGGCGCACATGGAGAATTTATGAGATTGTCTATTTTATATTGAGCGGATTATAATCGTCTTAAATGTAGGACTTAAGGTCCTAAGATAGGATAGGATATGATTCTTTTAACAGTAAATGGCCTAGGATAAGATAGATCAAGTTAAATAGGGTAAGGAAGTTAGTATTGAACAGAGATAGACGGCTAAGTCAAGTGACCTAATTTTGCAAAACTTTGAGATTCTACATCATTTCTTTTAGTTGCTATCGTTGATTTCAATCAGATATATTCAGAATTATGTCTCATTTTGTTCTGTGAATATTACCAGCTTAGGGTAGCATACTAATTTTGCAAGGTTTAAGTGGAAGATAGATATTCATAGCCATGTGTGTACTTTTATTAGTTTGAATATTTGCCAAAAGGTGGCACTAGTGTTGTGGAGCATCTACATGTAGTAGTTTATTATCTTTTAAAGGTCAGATTGGTAATAAGATTGAAAACTGTTTTGTTAGGTATTTACAGTATCTTGTTTGATATACCATCTGAAAGACCTTAGTTTCATTGTCAAAACTCATTGTAAATCTACATATTTCATACTTATAGTTGATTACGTAATATATATATATTTTAGTTCAAATCATATTTTATGTTATTATTGAGATCAGTGTGACAGTTAGTTGTCAGTAAAAAGCAGATTAAAATTCATAACAACCAACACACTCCCTAGTCAAGGCCATATACACGCTACCACAGAAATTTCAAGTATATTTGTAACATCTCTTATTTTATGTAACGTCAGGCTAGGCGAGTGTGACCCCCGGTTGTTACACATAACTACTAAATCGAAGCCATCATGGATTATGCTGAAAAATCCCGAAAATGTGCTTTATCTCGCCATTGGATTGCGTAACCATGAGTGATAACATGTGAAGGCAAGTGTATGTTGATTACACTGCCCATATAAATATATATATAGCTGAATAATTTCAACAATATGGATCATCAATCTGTGCATCATCTTCGTTCTCAGCTCATGTCATCAATCATCATAGTGTATATACTGTACCTGTATGTGACATCTACACTTAGACAGTATTGTGTTTTTGACCGATCTATCAGCTGGTCTGATATTGGAAGGAGTGCACGCCTTCCATCTTTGGGATGAAACTAACTTTAATAACTGTTCACTGTACCATATATTAACATTATGAAGAGGACATCTACATCAGTGACAATTCAGCCAGAGACTGAGCTCAGAGACTGTTAATCTTTGATAATTTGTAGTGATCCAGTATTTTGCATATATTTTGTATTAACATGTATATTTTGTCCCTATAAACATAAAGTACATGTTTAACATGTACATTTGGTACTTTAATATAATCTGATGCTATGTTGATTAATGGTATGTCACACAGCATTTGTGTAAAACATTTTATACTGCTACTTTGTTTTGAGACATTGTGTCTTATGTAATTTTCACTGAGCTTTTGGCTCATATATAAGTATTGTGCCACATGATATATGTATTAAGTCCTCTATGTATCCATTTTATACTTTTGTTCAAGCGTAAATCGAGGACGATTTATTTTTCAAATAAGGGGGCAGTGTAACAACCCTGGGTTGTTACTTTTTATATTTCATGCCCAGTTTAATTATTTCATATAGCTGTTAATGTAAATATTTGTATTTCAATTTATTGTAAGGTTTAAAGGTCATTTAAACTTTTTATAACTTTTGAATTTGGTGCCAAAAACTTCAGCCTAGTTTAGATTAGCCAATCAGAGCACGTCTTATAAAAGTGTTTGGAGGCGCACGTGGAGAATTTGGGTTGACAATTATTTTATATTGGGCGGATTTTAATCGTCTCAAATGTAGGACTTAAGGTCCTAAGATAGGATAGGATATAATTCTGTTAACAATAAATGGACTAGGATAAGATAGATCAAGTTAAATAGGGTAAGGAAGTTAGTATTGAACAGAAAGAGACGGCTAAGTCAAGTGACCTAATTTTGCAGAACTTTGAGAAATTCTACATCATTTCTTAGTTGCTATTGTTGATTCCAATCAGATATATTCAGAATTATGTCTCCTTTTTGTTCTGTGAATATTACCAGCTTAGGGTAGCATAGTAATTTTGCAAGGTCTTAGTTGAAGATAGATATTCATAGCCATGTGTGTACTTTTATCAGTTTGAACATTTGCCAAAAGGTGGCACTAGTGTTGTTAAGCATCTACATGAAGTAGTTGTGTATTATATAAGGTCAGATTGGTAAGAAGATTGAAAACTGTTTTGTTAGGTATTTACAGTATCTTGTTTGATATACCATCTGAATGGCCTTAGTTTCATTGTAAAAACTCATTGTACATATTTCATACTTTTAGTTGGTTACATAATATATATATTTTAATTCAAATCATATTTTATGTTATTATTGAGATCAGTGTGACAGTCAGTTGTCAGTAGAGCAGATTAGAATTCATAACAACCAACACACTCCCTAGTCAAGGCCATATACACGCTACCACAGAAATTTCAAGTATATTTGTAACATCTCTTATTTTATGTAACGTCAGGCTAGGCGAGTGTGACCCCCGGTTGTTACACTACTACAGGTAGGTTGAGGTATGATATGAAATGGAAGAAATAGATTCAATGATGGCCCATACAGGCTAATCTATAGAATAAGCATAGGACATGGAATTATGTAATCAAATCTGAGCCTAGATTAGGCTATAGAGTAACAAAAACATTTACAAAAAATAAATAGGCTACTGATGTCATTGTCATTACCATGGGCTTTCAACTAGAGAATTGAAAGCCCATGTCATTACTAAGAAATTCTCCATCTAAAATGTCACTCGACTTTTTTGTGATTATGAGTCAAAGAAAGCATTCTTGAGTTTCAAATTGACTTCTGTGGTAACTTGAAACCATCTTCTAATTTATTCCACTTACCTTTTATTGTTTCTCCAAATATATTCTTTGAAAATCGGATTTTAAGGGTGTTAATCAGGGTAAATCTGTGCCATTTTATCAAAAATCTTGTTGCTATCTAGAAACGAGCAATTGTGATCTTGTTGTTACCTAGGAACGAGCAACTGTGATGTCACGTCACACTCATGTTAATTCTGGAATCACATGGCAGCCATTTTGGAAATTTCAAAAAAGTTCCCAATTAAAAAGGCTAAATGCTGTTTACAAATTGGAAACTATGGCAGAATCAACAAAGGGTTTGTGAAATAATTAGGATATGGTTTCAAAATTATGCACATGACAATATATGACTACTAAATGCAGGCAGGGACTTTTAATTGCCAAAAAGTCGAGTGACATTTTAGATGGAGAATTTCTTAGTCTTGCTTGAAGCCCCTGGACCCCCCCTCCCAATAAATTTTAACACTCAGGCCATTCCCACTCCTCCTCCTCAAGTGAACCCCCCTTGGCAAATCCTGGCTACGGGCCTGCTCCTTGTGGTGAAATGGGGGAGGGGGTCCTAAGGGATTGTAACTGGACTATGTCAATGTGAATCTCAGTCTGATTGTCATGTTTTGATCCTGAAAACACATGCTATCTATTGCAAGACTTACGCCTGCCACAACCGTCACCATGTTAATCAGTGTTTTTTAAGTAGCGCAAGGATCCTGCCATGACCGTGGTAGTGTTATCGTGTAAGCCTGGTATAACCGTGACAGGCTGGTATAACCGTGACAATGCTGAAGTGTTATCGTGGAAGCCTGGCGCGACCGTAGCCTTTATTGTGGTTTATAAGCGAATGTGAATATTAATGTATAGTCAAGGAGGATTGGCTCCCAGAATGCAACACCGATATTCTGCAAAACAATCACCTAGCGATAGCTTTGTTGGAGAGTATCGGGTCATTCTCCATGCAGTCGTACAAATTATACAGACACGAATAGCAAATGACGCATGCGTGGAGATTAAAGAATATCGAGTTGGAACCCTGGCTTCCAATCCTCCTTGTGTATAGTAGTAATTTTGATTTTGACATGATTAAGGAAGTTAAACACCATGATCATAGTATTAAACTGTTTAATTGTAATGAGGATCACTTAAAATTGTTAAGGATATTCCTGGCATTAATGTCATACATATTTACTAGTCATTGCAATACATTATAACGGTCATAGTAGAACTAAGCCTAAATCTCTATATTACCACCCTCATACCTGGCCTTGCAATACTATATTACATTGTCACAGTCATACCAGGCTTTGCGATCCCATAATACATTGTCATGGTCATGCCAGGTTTTCAAATACACATTGTCACGGTCAATTATAGCAATCATAAATTTCTACTATCACCACTCTCATACCCGAACTTGGAATACTATATCACATTGCCATGGCGGTCATACCAAGCCTTGCAATACTATATTACATTGCCATGGTCATGCCAGGCTTTGCAATACACATTGTCACGGTTATAGCAGTCCTAATCGTAAATTTCTACATTACCACTCTCATACCTGAACTTGCAATACTATATTACATTGTCACGGTCATGCCAGGCTTTGCAGTACTATATTACATTGTTACGGTCATACCAAGCCCTTGCAGAACTATATTACATTGTCACGGTCATGGCAGGCATTGCAATATAATACAGCATTGTCGCGGTTATACCAGGCTTTCACAATAACATTACCACGGTCATGGCAGGATCCTTGCGCTACTTAAAAAACACTGAATAACATAGTGACGGTTACGCCAGGCGTTAGTCTTGCAACAGATAGGGTCTCCACATGCTATCTATTGCAAGACTTACGCCTGCCACAACCGTCACCATGTTAATCAGTGTTTTTTAAGTAGCGCAAGGATCCTGCCATGACCGTGGTAGTGTTATCGTGTAAGCCTGGTATAACCGTGACAGGCTGGTATAACCGTGACAATGCTGAAGTGTTATCGTGGAAGCCTGGCGCGACCGTAGCCTTTATTGTGGTTTATAAGCGAATGTGAATATTAATGTATAGTCAAGGAGGATTGGCTCCCAGAGGCCAGAATGCAACACCGATATTCTGCAAAACAATCACCTAGCGATAGCTTTGTTGGAGAGTATCGGGTCATTCTCCATGCAGTCGTACAAATTATACAGACACGAATAGCAAATGACGCATGCGTGGAGATTAAAGAATATTGAGTTGGAACCCTGGCTTCCAATCCTCCTTGTGTATAGTAGTAATTTTGATTTTGACATGATTAAGGAAGTTAAACACCATGATCATAGTATTAAACTGTTTAATTGTAATGAGGATCGCTTAAAATTGTTAAGGATATTCCTGGCATTAATGTCATACATATTTACTAGTCATTGCAATACATTATAACGGTCATAGTAGAACTAAGCCTAAATCTCTATATTACCACCCTCATACCTGGCCTTGCAATACTATATTACATTGTCACGGTCATACCAGGCTTTGCGATCCCATAATACATTGTCATGGTCATGCCAGGTTTTCAAATACATATTGTCACGGTCAATTATAGCAATCATAAATTTCTACTATCACCACTCTCATACCCGAACTTGGAATACTATATCACATTGCCATGGCGGTCATACCAAGCCTTGCAATACTATATTACATTGCCATGGTCATGCCAGGCTTTGCAATACACATTGTCACGGTTATAGCAGTCCTAATCGTAAATTTCTACATTACCACTCTCATACCTGAACTTGCAATACTATATTACATTGTCACGGTCATGCCAGGCTTTGCAGTACTATATTACATTGTTACGGTCATACCAAGCCCTTGCAGAACTATATTACATTGTCACGGTCATGGCAGGCATTGCAATATAATACAGCATTGTCGCGGTTATACCAGGCTTTCACAATAACATTACCACGGTCATGGCAGGATCCTTGCGCTACTTAAAAAACACTGAATAACATAGTGACGGTTACGCCAGGCGTTAGTCTTGCAACAGATAGGGTCTCCCTGAAAATGGAATAATTCTGCCGAATAAAATTGTTTCACAATCTAAAGGATGTAAATACTAAATAGCGTTCAATTCTGAGAAATTTACAGATTGGCACAAATGTATGCTATCACTAGAATTACCTGGCTGTGTAAAATCTTTGCTCATATTAAGATATTGTAGATAAAACTAAACAACTTTGTAATGATTTGTCTTTCACTTTTCTTTTGAATTTTTCACTTCCTGTTCAGAATAGTCTCAAAACAAAAACGTAATTTATATATTATGTCATTATTCAGTTTTTATGATTTGAGATATTATAAAAGTGAAACAACAAAATTAAACAATATAGCATATATCATATCATACTTTACTCTCTCCTTTGTTACAATTTTTTAAAGTTATGTAAATTAAAAAAAGTTTTGAGACTATTTTGGTCATTCTAGGTATCTCTATATACTAGTATTACATACCTAGCGAAGCATTTGTATGGAAGTCAATGGGAAAGTTAGCGAGCTATATCCACCGATATTGCCCGATTACCCCGATATAGCCCGCTTACCTCGTTTTGATATTAGATTTCTTTAATAACCATGATAATATCATGACGTCACGTCATTGATACAAAGTAACCATGGGAACAAAGGCATGTAATACATCAGTTATGTCACTATGACGTGAAATATGCCTTCGTTCTTGCCCAAATATAGAGCCTCCCAAGGTCGGCCTATATTGGGAGAACTCAGGCATATTTCACGTCATAGTGACATAACCTCTAAGTATTGCTTCTTTCAAAGGCCATGAATTGCCTTTGGGGTGAAATATCTAGAGTAAATTATCTGTGCTCAAGCCTGTAGCCAGCTATTGGTGGGCTTAAACTATTTTTCAACCAACTCCCTTTGTATATGTCAAGGTATGCTAAAGGTGCAACAATTAGTGCAGGGGCCATTCAATGATCATCGATCAGTGTCAAAATATATTTAAGTTTGGATATTTCATCAAGACTAACCAATATATTTTTATTATCTACAAAGAAACCCCCTGGATGAAGATTATTTCAGCTGATATTCCTCTTGAAACGTGGTGATTCACCGGTGAATCTTAAAAATCTCTAAGTGGGACTCCCTTTATAGAAGCTTTGAACTGAATTTACAATTCTTAATGCTGAAATTGATAGTTTATCCATACATTTTAAGAAAATAGGTATGTCAAAGAAGATGTTAAGCCAAATATTGATCTGATAACTCAGAAAAAATAAAAATTTTCAAATTTTGTCTCTACAGACCTTGTTGCCCCTTTAACAAGACACCAGGGCAGCCCCACCTAAGTGAAAAAAACAGCTTGCCATATCACTCTAATACACCACTAATAGACCTTTTATATACAACTAGTAGAACATGTTCTATAAGTGATTTATTAGTGGTGATTTTCGTTAACAGACCAATTTTTACCACTGGCATTGACTTAACAGGTGGTTTATTATAGGTGAAAAAATTCGACCATGCAAATGAGATAAAAATTATTGACCAATCAGAGAGCATGTAATTCACTACTAATACAGCAATCCAGAAGGCTCAAATATTACTAACAGACTACTAATATACCACTCCCAGAAGGCTAAGACAATGCACTAATAAACCCGGCATTCCTAGTCTAATATGTTACTAACAAACAAACCACTCTGAATCCATTTTATACATCCGAAGGTACAAAATCTCTATTAGTACTAAATTCAGTGATCGTGACAAATATGAATAAGATTCAACATATACATCTTCTACATACCTTCATGATTATGTTGACCAAGATTCAATAAAGTCCAGTAACCCTTCTGGTTGTAATGCTGCGTTTCATTACAGAATTATTTCCCTTATATTTCAACTATTTCCGCCATTTAAAAGAGGTTTCTCATTCTAAATCAAGGACCAGTCTTAATACACTACTAATAGACCATTCCAGAAAAAATCGAGTCAATAAATAACTTACAAATCCCTCAACCTAAAAATCCTACTTCCACACCACAGTGGTGTATTAGTTGAGTATTGCCAGTTTTAATAGAAAACTTACAAACCACTTGACTAAATCACTTTTCATGGTGTATTGGTGGTTTATTGGTGATGTATTAGTGGTATATTCGATTTCTTTTTTACTTGGGCAAAAAAGTCAAAATTTGGAAAAATAATACCCAAATTGACAAACAATGCTCAGTATTATAAATGCACAGATTTTGGGCCCACAAAATCCAGGAGGGCAAAAATAACTGAAGACTGCTTGTTGTGTAAACATAATTTAGAAATTCACTGTAAAGTAAAAACATTGTCTGCAGTTAGAAATTGTCCAACATTTGTGATGGAAGACTCTTGCTACCCTCCTTAATTGCAAGCAAGATTCAAAATGCCATTCGAAATTCACTTCACTGAACAAAAGTATTTAATTTGTGTATTTTTAGGAAATTGCCCGACATTTACGACCAAGGACTCTACGCGCCTTATTTGGTAAAGACAAGATTCAGAACGCTATTCATTGTACAGATCTCCCAGAAGATGGCTTGTTAGAGGTAAATTTTAACAAAGAAATCATATGATTCTCATCATGTACATTTATAATATACAGTTGTAGACCTCTCTTGAGGTCAACTGGCAAAATTGTATACTGATGCTGTAGACCTTGAAAATACTGTGACCAGAGGTCAAGTCAACAGTACTTTCAAGGTTTATAGTTGAGGTATACAATTTTGCCAGTTGACCGAATAGAGAGGTTGTTAGTCCGAAGAATATTATGCAAATATTCAATTTTGTTGAGGTGAATACCTGTGCATCTTTTACAAGGGATATTCCATGAAGCCCGAAAATAGAATTGAATATTTGTTATATTATTCACTGACATGAATTGAAAAACAAACTATTTATATCTAATTTATCATAACAATTGTTCACTTTTAGTTTACCAATCAGAATTGAGTATTTCAACCGAGGTACTAACAATTCATGTATGTATCTATGGTCAAAATAAAGAGATATGACTCTAAAATAATTTGTCATACCATTCCTGACCACAGTCTTTTTGGATCATAAAGACCACATTGCCACTTTAATTGAAATAATTGTTTTTTCTACTCTGATCCTTTACTGCCACTTTAAGATTAAAGGCCACTTCTGTTCAAATATTTAATCTGGTTTCTATTGAATATTTGAGTGTAAGAATTCTTGTCGATAACATCTGTGATTTCAATCAGTGTTTGAATAAATTAAACAATACTGTACTCCTGGTATTTTATATATTGAAATATTTTTTTCATAACCTTCAATAACTTGTTCCATGAATATAAATGTACACACTTCACAATTGTCAAAGCTAGGAAATAATGTCGGCAAGTTTGGAAAAATAGAAAGGAATATTATGAAATTACATTCTGCATTGTTTTGTGTAGATCGCTATGGTAATGGTGATTTCTCAAAATTGGGTTTTCATTCATTTTTATGTCACCACCACAAGTGGTGACATATTATGTGTTATAATATCCAACTTTTTTGTGGACAGTGCTTTGTGTTTGGCATCCGATGGTTGACATCCAGAGTTTGGCATCTGTAACAAATGGCAGGCTGTGACATTTTGCAAGTTTATGCCTTATTAGAATTCACACAATTTTCATTACATAACATGTTGTACCCAAAGACAACACTGAACGAAATACTATTGAATCTTGGACACTACGCAAATTAAACTATTGGAATCTTCATGCTATTTATTTTGCCAATTTTTGAACTTCACAAAAACATGAAATTCAGTAACATTCATATTTAACCAGGCATACAGTATCATTCTCAAATATCACTTTCTTAAGTGTTGTAAGAATAGATCAATAAATACAATAGTGCCATGTTGAATTCTAATAAAAGAAAATACCGGTAATTTCTTGATCTGACACATACTGTTTTCTCAGCTTTAAGTTATTGATTACAAAATGATATTCCGATGATCAAGTTTTTGTCAGGACATCGTGCAACTCTCTTGAGTCTTTTTTTATCCATTTATTAATGTTCATTGTCACAGACTTTATTACAATTTTTTGTTTTAGACGTTTCAAATGCAAACTGCATCCATGATCACTAAATTTTAATTTTTGAAACAAAAAATTGTAATAAAGTCTGTGACAATAAACGTTAGCAATGGATTTAATATTACCAGACTCGACTATGAACTTATTTAATCTAATCTCTTGAGTCTTGTCTGTATGGGCGATAACTCAAATACTAGTGGACTGATCTCATGGTCATTCATATTTGGGCAATAACTGAAATACTACTTAACTAATTTCATTTATATTTAAAATGAAGATGCTAAATAGGTAGTTTTACACCAAACCTGAATAAGGGACCATATCAACAGTGACATTTCATACTTAGGGACTAGTTAGATATATCCGTGGCTTCAAATTCTTTCCAAAGAAATCATTCCTTCCCCCCTCCCCCAATTTGTTTAAAGTTATTTATCCAACATATAAACAAGTTACAAAATACATACACTTCCCCCAAAAATAGTTTAACAAATGTAACAGAATTCAACCCTCTCATGGCGTAGGTATAACTATTACCTTTATGGACCTTGATCCCTGACAGATTTAAGTGATTTAGTTTAGGGAGATTGGTGAAGCAAAAAGAGTGTTCACAAGCTTGAATGTCGATGATGATAATGACAATGATGAGAGTGACAATGATTATTTATAATGATGACAATGATGATTAACAATGATGAGAATGACAACGATGATTAGTAATGATGAGAGTGAAAATGATTATTTATAATGATGATTGACAATGATGAGAATGACAATGGTGATTAACAATGATGAAAATGACATTGATGATTAACAATGATGAAAATGACAATGGTGATTAACAATGATGAGAATGACAATGGTGATTAACAATGATGAAAATGACATTGATGATTAACAATGATGAGAGTGAAAATGATTATTTCAAACAATCATGAAAATGATTAATGACAATGTTGAGAATAACAATAATGAAAATGAAGAAAATCTTATTCTTTGTTAAATTAACATTGTCTTTCTGTTGTAACCACCAAAAGCTAGCGCATGCAAAATAATATTTTTATTTTTCCAGGTGGAGTATTTCTTCAAGATCCTAGACAGGTAACCATGGCAACTGCATGATTGACAGAACTGCTTGGGAATATAGATCTAAATCGGGAGAAATGTAAAAAAATACAAAAAACTGAAAGATGTCATGTAATTCAATTGGCCTTTGCTGTACCAGTGGAATCAAAGCACTGGACTTGACAAGGTTTCTGCAAAAAGACAATTTAGGAGGCTAATGAAATACATTGCGAACTGAGGGACATTTCTAATACTGTAAATTGCAATCCATGAAGTTTTCTATATTATCTTGGATAATGCTTCTGTTGTAACATTGTTAAAAATTCTAATTCATAAACTCGGAAAGTTAAATGATTGTAACCCAGGTTACTTTTATTAACTTTGTCGAAATCCCATATTTTGCTTTTTAACCTGATAAATTTAGAACAGAACATTTTCCACAGAATAAAATGTAAAATGAAATCAATAATCCACAAGTGTACATTTCACATGCCCTGTTTGTTTATATGAGAACATTTATGTAAATATTTTTTAATTACTGAATCGAAGATGTTGTAAGAATTGATTTTTGCTTCATGTCACTGTTAACAAATTGTACATACATGAATCATACATCGCTGATAAAAATATATAAACCATAGTATTATTTATTTTATTATTTTGTTATTTTTATTCAACAATAGTGAATTTACATTAAAGGGGCTAGTAGTTACCGATTTCACCGCCAGGTGGCTGATTAGGGTCAGATATCATGGCATGGATAGAAAAAGTTCCTCTAAACTTGAAAAATTAATTCAAGGAGATCGATTTTTATCTAGCCCTTTTAAAATTATACGGCTTAAAATATGTCCAGTAAATGAAAATTTTTGTCTGTTCAATACAAGTAACAAGAAAAGATAATTCAATTTTCATGATTTTAAATATTGCCTCTATTGAGAATCTGATTGACTTGGAAATCATTTTTCAAAGAAAATGAAAATTTCAAAGTTGATAAAAACAATCTTTCGAAATTCAAATGTCAATGTTGTTTTGTGTGCAAATACTATATCTAAATTATGAATATTTAATGTTTAAAATTAAGATTGTTTCTACTCAGATCTAGTGCTTTGTGACTTTAAAAAGTTATTTTTAAGAATCAATACTAGCAACTTCATATACAGTAATTGACACGACGATAAAATGTTTCTCTCCAAACATGCATAACCCTGGTCAGGGGAGTAGCCAGGGTAAAAATATGCGAATCAAGGCTTATTTAAATAGGCAATGCGAATATGAGTTAAACGAGGGATGTACTACTATTTGCGGATTTTATTTTCACAGTTTCAAAATCAATATCAAATCAAAAAATGTCTGAATAATATGTTTCTTTCACATTTTGAAGAGGCAATTGTTTCATCCCTGGCTGCAACAATGATACTATACATAATTAGAGAGGATGATACAGGAAAATCTGTGTATATTGAACATTTTTACCGAGAAAAATCGTTCAGTGTTGGCAAGTGTTCACTACAGAGAGGGTAATTTATAGAGGCAGGTTTTCACTAGAGAGAGGTGCTCATTAAGACATTTTTTACAAAAGAATATAGGCCCTATGAAGTTGTTTAATTAGTCTGAAAGATTACATTTAAACCCCTTTTTAAAAAACGATCTACAGGGTGTCAAAAAACAACGGCACCCCCCTCTACAGCAAAAACTCCTGAATGTTCCATATCATGTCATACCTTATTTGAAAGATAATTTAATTCTGGAGTTACTCATCAAATTTCATTCAATAAAACTTAATATTAAAAAAGCTACGTTGTTTCAAAGTTTGCTATTTCGGCACTTTGTTTGCTGCTCTGTTACTGGTTAAAAGACAAATCTTCAGGAAGTGAAATATGAAAGAATTACCCCAGATTTCAACTGCACTGAACATATAGGTTCATTTCTGAAAAACAGGGTATAGGAACTGATGGAAAAAGAGCCTCTTGAAAAAAGACACAATATAAGGATGTATTTCTGAAGAATGTAAGGAAAGTGCGAAGAGGATTATGCAATGCTACATAACATAACACCTTTATGTGAATTTTTATTGAAATCATATCTGTCCTAATAAGCTGCTGTTTGAGCAGCAACTGGTGGTCATACCAACTACTAAGAATCAGCTGTAAATCTGTAAAATTATATGATATCAAGCTGAGATTTCTCAGGTAACTCCAGAATTAAAATGAGATATGACACACCATGTAACATTAAGTACTTTTTGCTGTAGAGGGGGGTGCCGTTGTTTTTTGACACCCTGTAGTTCTGTGTCACCTTGGTGATCAAATCTTTTTAATATTGATTTTTAGTCTCCTAATCCTTTAAACAGAATAGATTCATCATCTCCTTTATATAATGTTTCAAAGCAATAAAGTTGAATTGATTTTCTGTACTTTTGAAGGACTGACAAATTGCATTTCTTTATTAATACATGAACATGTTGTACATCTCAAAAATCAATTTTCACATGTAATTAAAGTTGTGAACATACCCAAGTGAAAAAACAACTTACCAAACCATTCAAATATTTGAGAATCGGACATAATTATATCATTTTTAGACTATTTTTCTATATGTTATTGCCGGAAGACATCGTGCCCTGCAATCGAAATAACCATTGTGATATGAAATAAAGTTATTCATAGCTTCAAGATCTAGAAGCTTATAGAGAATATGTCAATGCTGTGATACGATAAACATAAAAGTAATGTTTGCATTTATATTTTACAACAGGCATAGAGACAATTGAGATTACTTTATATGTAGAACCACGAGTCGTTGTTGCAACATGTATAGCTTCATAAACAATATATTTTGAAGGGAATGGAAACGCTGGAAATATTATTAGTTAACTATGTATTTTAACTCTTTCATTCTTTTGATGATCTTTCTACTATATGGCCACTCTTGCATAGCAAGCTGCCGACAAAGTGTAGCATCAACCGCATCATCATTAAGATTATACCCCATAACCGTGTCATCTTTGTAATCGGCTTTAAATTCAGGGTCCACAATTTCTGTACCCGGAACCATGTCTTTGACACAAAAGTCGTACCATTTCTTGTTAGTATCTCGAAGCTTCTCGACTTCAATAGTAAGTTTATTTCGACCATATTTCTCTACCTTTTCCCAAAATGTTTTATTGAAGTAATTATAGAGACGTACGTCACCAGAATTCCATTTCCTGAGGAGTTCTATTGTTTCTGATGTAATTTTCTTCTTGGGCTTACGGTTTTTAATTTTGGTTAAATACACAATGTCTTCGGTTGACCAGTTCAAAATATCACGCATTAAAACTAAACTCTCATCGAAATACTCAGTGAGCATGACCAAGTCAAAGTTTGCGCTAATTTCCTCAACTTTTTCAGTTACAAGAACATCGTTTATTGTATCATTTGATTCTAGTCCAAAATCAAATAACATCATGTTTCTTGTTGGAAGTACACACCATTTGGCACTCTGTCCACCTTTTACAACAATCTGGGCAAAATCGTCTATTGTCCCAACACCATTGTAACAGTTCTTATAACCAAAATAGTTGAAGGCCGATACGAATTGTGTATCCGGATTTCTTATGATTGTTATGGATTTTGTCCCTTTAGGCATTACTTTATGGACATCTGTGCTATATCGCATGTGGTGGGCGATCATGTTGAAGGGTTCCGTCGATTTCATTACATATTTATCTGAGAAAACCTTAGGATATTCAAATATATTAATACCTGATTGGAGTCCTAGGGGAATGGCCATATTAAGGTCATTGTTATCTGCAAATCGGAAAAAAAGGTTTTGTAAAGTTGAACTGCCAACTTTATGCAGCTTTAGAAAAATCACATTTTTCTGTATTATTTTGCTTTCTTGATATGCCCTATTTGTGTCAGCCTGCGTTTTAGCCTTTTCTTGAGCATGGCCTCCAGTGTCGCTAATTTCATCCAGATGCAAGGTCTTTTGGAATCCCACGTGGTTCATGATAAACAGAAACCACAGTAACATAATCAAGCTTAACAGACATAACTTAATTATGAAAGTTTTATTCATTATGAACGGTTCAAGAGAAGTATCCGCCTTAGAGTTATATGGTTTTATTTTTTGTTTGGTTTGTTCCTTTTAAGGTACAGCTGGAAAGTAACATTTTGGTAAAAAATTGCTATACCTGCACATGTTATTTTCTGGTACAAAAGAAAGAAAGAAGGCATGTATCAATTTCCTTGCTTTTTCAGGAAAGTATGATTACAGTGTTTTATTTTAGAATATCCGGTAGGCGTTCAATGGAAACTCCAGGAAATTCTGATATTTCAAACTTTCTTTTTTTCCAAATTTTCTTTCAAGTTTCCAGACAACATAGGAGCTAACATGACCTGTTCCCAGGTTTACTAAAAGTAGACAGTGTAGTGATACTTTCCTGAAAAAAGCAAGGAAATACACACATGCCTTCATACTTAATTTTGTACCAGAAAATAACATGTGCAGGTATTGCAATTTTTTACCAAAATGTTACTTTCCAGCTGAACCTTAATAATTTTTGGGATTTGATTATTGTATTCTGCCTCTTCCTGACATTTGTTTTCTTCGTGTTTTTTATATATGTTTTTTTCAATCGTTCCATTTATTAATTGTTTAGTTTGTTCCTTACATGTGTTGTTTGTTATTACTCCTTTAATTTGTTGTTTTGATTGTTCATTTTTTGTTGTTTTGATTGTTCATTTTATTTGTCGTTTTGACTGTTCGTTTCTTTGTTGCTTTGGTTGTTCGTTTCATTCACTGTTTGATTTGTTCCTAATCATTGGTTATAACTTTGGATTGTTAAATAAGCTAAACTAAGCTCTATACTATATTCGTTTTTATTATTCTTTTTAATTTCTTTTGTTTTGTAGATATTGATTGTTTAATTGTTGTTTTAATTCAGAATTCCATCTTCTTCAACATTTTTTGTATGGATGTGTCATATTTGACAAGTGTAGAACACTTTTCTATTATCACATAATGTTAGTTAAGACTACACAAACGTCCTTGAAATTAATCAATGCAATTTCAGACCAAATGTATAAGAATTTAAATGGTTAAAATCTCCATAAACAAGTCAGAATATACCTTACATGGACATTGGACACCAAACCTTTATTGAAGAAAAAGAAACGCAGGTATCACTCGACTTTATTTTCAGTTTCCAATTTATTCGGAAAAAGATGTCTGAATAAAATGTGTCTTTTATATATGTTAACGAGGCAGCTGCCTCCTGTGTGACCTTTCCCATGGTGTTCTCAATAGACGTGGATGATACACCAAAAATACATGTTTATTTAGTCATTTATTTTTGATAAAGAGATTATTGAAAATTATAGGCAAATATCGAGAGCAATGGATTTAAAATGTATATGATTTTATTGAGGTATTTTTGCTCTAATCGTGGCTTGAAAATGCTCAAAGAAACCTTGCTTCGATGAACATGTTATTTTATTGCTTTTTAATCACGCTGACCGATGCTCCTCGTGGGACGTTTTACTCCATTGTTTTTTGTTATGGATATTCAAATTTTCTTAAATATTTATTCACACATACCTAGGCAAGGTGTGTCCGATTCCAGCCAATCCGAACAGAGTATTCACATAATGAACAGTGTGTGAAATATCAATAACACATGCAAGGTCACTAGTTAAACAGTTGTCATGGTGATGAATGGATTTTTCACATAGGATTTGATGACTTGCCAATTTGACCCTTGCAAAACATTTCATTGAAAACGTGTTCTTTTAGTGATTTCGTTCTTTTAAGATGATTTTATAGAAAAAATTGCAATGTGTGAAAAGAATTTAAGCCCAAGACTCAATGCATTGTTGCTGCTTCATTCCACTCAGGCATTGTTTCCTAAACTTTGCATTCCCGCTGCGCGGTCACGCAAAGGTTTGAAAACAACACCTTCATGGTATGATTCAGCAAACAATGCATTGAGTCTTGGGCTTAAATCCTTCTATTGGTTCAATCTCTAATACTGCAATAGACTTATTTTCAGTTTTACATAATGTTTCAAAGCAAAGCAATAAATATCAATTTTAAAATTGTTTTTCTGTCTTTTTAATACCCATTTTAATGGGTATGTATGTGTAATGAGGTTGATAAATCTCAAATCTAAGATAAACACACAGTAAGATCTACTTTCACACGACAGTCGTACATTAAACTTACTGATACAAATGCTGATGATACGTATAGTTTTACTATTCACTAAAGAGTTCACATTTGTGTTTTTAGCTTTCAAACTACTGATTATCTATAACAAAGTTTCAATGCTATTGACCTTATGAAACTAGCCGTGAAATCTGACTTTCACTTTCCCTGTAAAGCTAACTCTCTGATTCCGAATAGCTTCAACATCTTGATGCTTATAGAGAACATGTCAATGTTGTGATACGATAAACATAAAAGCAATGTTTACATTCATATTTTTACAACAGGCAATTGAGATTATTTTATATGTAGAACCACGAGTCATCGTTGTTGCAACATGTATAGCTTCATAAACAATATATTTTGAAGGGAATGGAAACGCTGGAAATATTATTAGTTAACTATGTATTTTAACTCTTTCATTCTTTTGATGATCTTTCTACTATATGGCCACTCTTGCATAGCAAGCTGTCGACAAAGTGTAGCATCAACCGCATCATCATTAAGATTATACCCCATAACCGTGTCATCTTTGTAATCGGCTTTAAATTCAGGGTCCACAATTTCTGTACCCGGAACCATGTCTTTGACACAAAAGTCGTACCATTTCTTGTTAGTATCTCGAAGCTTCTCGACTTCAATAGTAAGTTTATTTCGACCATATTTCTCTACCTTTTCCCAAAATGTTTTATTGAAGTAATTATAGAGACGTACGTCACCAGAATTCCATTTCCTGAGGAGTTCTATGGTTTCTGATGTAATTTTCTTCTTGGGCTTACGGTTTTTAATTTTGGTTAAATACACAATGTCTTCGGTTGACCAGTTCAAAATATCACGCATTAAAACTAAACTCTCATCGAAATACTCAGTGAGCATGACCAAGTCAAAGTTTGCGCTAATTTCCTCAACTTTTTCAGTTACAAGAACATCGTTTATTGTATCATTTGATTCTAGTCCAAAATCAAATAACATCATGTTTCTTGTAGGAAGTACACACCATTTGGCACTCTGTCCACCTTTTACAACAATCTGGGCAAAATCGTCTATTGTCCCAACACCATTGTAACAGTTCTTATAACCAAAATAGTTGAAGGCCGATACAAATTGTGTATCCGGATTTCTTATGATTGTGATGGACTTTGTCCCTTTAGGTATTACTTTATGGACATCTTTGCTATATCGCATATGATGAGCAATCATGTTGAAGGGTTGCGTCGATTTCTTTACAAATTTATCTGAGAAAACCTTAGGATATCCAAAGTTATTAATACCTGATTGGAGTCCTCGGGGAATGGCCATATTAAGGTCATTGTTATCTGCATACCGGAAAAAAAGATTTTGTAAAGTTGAACTGCCAACTTTATGGAGCTTCAGAAAAATCACATTTTTATGCATTGTTTTCCGATCTTGGTATGTATTGGAGTTGACATGTTGCTCATTTGGGGAAATCTGCTCCTCATTTGAGGATATCTCCTCCTTTTTTGGAGAAATGTGCTCCTTATTTGAGGAACTCTGCTCATCATTTGGGGAAATGTGCTCCTTATTTTGAGAAATCTGCTCCTCATTTGAGGATATCTCCTCCTTATTTGGAGAAATCTGCTCCTCATTTGAGGATATCTCCTCCTTATTTGGAGAAATCTGCTCCTCATTCGAGAATATCTCCTCCTTATTTGAGGAACTCTGCTCATCATTTGGGGAAATGTGCTCCTTATTTGGAGAAATCTGCTCCTCATTTGAGGATATCTCCTCCTTATTTGAGGAACTCTGCTCATCATTTGAGGATATTTGCTCCTTATTTGAGGAAGTGTGCTCTTCCTTTGAGGAAATATGCTCCTCATTGGGGGAAATCTGTTTCTCATTCGAAGAAGTCAGCTCCTCATTTTGGGAAACCTGCTCTTTATTTGGTAATGGTTGGCCTTTGCTAATTCGATTTGCTTTACTTCGTATTTTAGCAAGGCCTCTCGATCTAGTGTTGCTTGTTTCATCCTGATACAAGATATTCGGAGATATAAAGTTCATAACATATAGACACCATAGGAACAAAATCAGGCCTAGCAGACAGAGCTTTATTAGGTAGGCTTTGTTCATGGTGGATGATGTTTGGTTCAACTTTGTGGTATATGCTTTTCGTTGCAGTTTGGATTGGTTTTCGTTGTTTTGTTTGTCCCTTGTATTTGTTATTGTTTCCTTTTATTTTTTTGTTTGAATTATTCCTTTATTTTGATGTTTGGTTCTATTCCTTGCTTTGCGACAAGTGTAGTCATTGTTCTCTTTCGTCAAATAATATTGGCGAAGACATGTTTTACTCCTGTTTAACAAGCTTACCATACTTTACTTCTTCGATGATACTGCATTAAAAATTCACATCTTCATGGACAATAAAATGAATAACTTAACCTGACATTCTTATTGAATTAAATATATTCAGGGAATGTATCAAAACTTAAATTCACGGTGTCCAACCCAAACGTTCTTACATGCACGACGGAGCGTTTTCGCGTTAATGAAACGCCCCGGCGTGCATGTAAGAGAAAAATGAAATTTGTCATTACTTTTATGCTTGTATGTTATAACATTTATATAAAGAAGAGGGAATCCCCAGAACTTATACATGATTACGTCACTTGCTTACCACTTTCGTTTGTTCGAATTTTCACCGGCTATTTTCCGAAACCACACGCTGAGATGTTTTAATCGATGTTGAATTGGCATGTTCCATTCATCGTTTTTATATTGATCTGAAATAAGAAGCTATGATATTGATAAACACAGCAGATTAATAAAGTAACATCATACGTATGTCTGATCATAAGTTCGAATAATAGCTATGTTTCAAATATTAATCATATGACATCATATATACGAAACCAATGATAATGCTACCAGCGGGAATTGGCCCTGCAGGCCTTACTATTTATACATGTTTTTCTGTTTTGAAAAATTCGATATCTGGTGTAAATTTCTTTAAATTTTTTCAAAGAAATCTACAAATATTTCGTTGCAGTTTTATCTTCACATCGTAATTTCAATCACCGCCATCCACTTTTCAAAACGAGTTGCTTTGAAATATCAAGATGTCATGCTATTCTCATACGTTAGAACTTAATGTGACTGTGACTGTCGTTCACCATTTATTAAGCAGTAAAATTAATTTGCTTCATAGGTGACAAAATGTTTTTTCTTTCCTGGTGAATGTCGAGTCTCGCATCATGCGAATGTTATCGTTCTGTCTGCATGGAATGATCAATATCACAATATTGTGACATACATTTCACCAACGTTACAAATTTTTGACATGACCCCTTTCCTCCTAAAAAATAAGTGATGAGAAATTAATTTAAATAATTTTATTGAATAATTGAAAAATATTACATCGAGCAAAAACATGAAGAGTCTTAATGCAATACCATAACCAACATACCTTTTTCATCGGATATCAATATATCGATCATTTAAAAAATAACTTTCTTAGAAACGTTTACAAATCTTGTTAAGATGAAATATACAACCAGTAGCTATATTTAGGCTTTAGACCAAGGCAAGATCGTTCTCAAAATGTCATATCGGTAGTCCTTAAAATCGTAGAACGGGGTGTTCTCAAGGTGAACTTGATAAAATACTTTTGATATACCTAGATCATTTGCCCAGATTTATTATTCCGTCGAATTTTCATTTCTATTTTGATTTTTGGGATATCATATGTGATGGATAAACAATGAGTCTTGGGTATCGAAGCTATTATTTTCTCTTTAGAAACCAGCCAAATTGTTTATCTAATCATGAGATTTCAAGAGAAAGCCCATGATTTAATTTAAACCCCACACTAATTCTTATGAAGGGTAAATGGTTCATGATCCAATCTGGATTCTTTATATTTCTTTTGTATTGACTGTTCAACTAGATGTAAAATACATGTAAGTGAGTGAGTGGGTTATAATCAGTTCAGGTTTCAACGCGCCGCATGTATATCAGGCCGGGTACAGTGTATTTTGTATTTGCTATTCAACTATTGGTTGAGTTTGCCAAGTGTTCATTCTTTAAAAACAATAGAACAGGAAAAGTACTATCCCTTTAATTTGATACCACTGTATTCTTTAAAATAAACTACTGTTCATTCTATTGTGTTGCTAACTAAGTTGTGGTTAATATGCCATAGTGTACAATACATGTGCACGAACACAATCAGCAAACCATTAAATGCAAAACACAAGAGGAAATATAACATATGTGATTAAGTATAACATACTTTAAGCGTGACACGAATCATTTAAGTAGAATCTTAGGGTAGCCCGAGGAGGGTTGACTCCCAGGGTTCCCAGTCGATATTCTGTCATATATGGAGATTTGTTTGGAGATATGTTTCTGCCAAAATGTGACTTCCAAAACGAATTTTCACCTATCAGTTTCACAATACAGTATGTTGGGGGATGGGTGTGTACACGGTTTTGATGCAATATGATTTCTTTATTAAACGTTATCTTGGTTACCTATAAACAAAATTTTAAGTATTTGTGCAATTTTAAGTAAATCAGTGTATTTCTTTTTTTGCTCATTTTGAATAATAAAAATCCAAAAATCAATTTTGAATCAATAATAATTTAACTGTTTAAACAATACCAATGGAGCTCATATTTGGATGTACACATCTTTAAAAGATATATATTTGATATGCTATTAAAGCATCCATGCTTGTCACTGAAATATGTTCCATAAATAAATAATATTGTTACAGCAAAATTCAATTAGCTGATTAAACAATCCCCATGCATGCATATTATTAACATATGTGGAGAGAAGAAATAAAAATCTTAACGAGGAAACCTACTATGTAAACATTCGTAACTTTCCTTGTATTCACGAATGCAACTAGCGCCTGTCGGCTACCGGATTAAATTGCAAACTTAACAATTTCACAATATGACACAAATGGTTTATATTATCTCATCAAATGCCAGTAGTGTAGCGTGTATTTTGTGAGTGCACGGCACGGGTGAGCGAAGCGAACGATCTTTAAAGGGGGTATGTTGATGAGTTCTCCCCCCGGGGTTCTCCCACAAGAAAATTTGCAAAATAGATTGCAGTTGAAGCGTTCTCGGGCGTTTTGAAATACGAAATTCCGACTAATATTGACTAATAAAATGTAACACATAAACCACTTTATTCATTTTTAAAGTGAGGGACAATTCAATTCAATAATAAACTTTTCTCTACATTTTTAGAGTACGCCATGGCGTTTTATGAGTATATGATGCTCTGTCATAGAATGTGCAAATATGAAATTTGCGATCGATTCAGGTCATACTTTAAATCAAAAGAGTGTACATTTTTTCATTATTTTTCCCTACAAAATGCTCCAAAAACAACTTTTACACTTATCAAATATCGTACAACTTTGTCAAACCATATTTGGATAAGATGTAGGGGTGCGTAGGATGCAAGTGGATTTTGAGAGACACAAAAATACTTCCTGGTTTGGAATCTATGCCTCTTCACTTCATGATTGAATGATGACCCTAATAAGTGGCCTATACATCAATACAGTGCTGAATATACTAGGTCAACAAGATAGTGTGCATATAAATGTAATAATAAAAAATCAGATGAATTGATTTTTTCACAGGGAAATCATAATGGAGAGTACACTACTTCCTTTGCTAACAAATAGATCTGTAGATGTGGCTATGCAGTCCAGTATTTTCAGTTCCCCAGTCTGGAGCGATTGGCAACCCATACTTGATCGATCAGTGTGACATTTATCGGGAAACACCCCCTCCCAAAAGGGAATTCTATTTACCAGCCTCGATTTGGACGCCGGTTAATTGAGTCACGTGATCTGCGAAAAGAGACAGAATGGCCGAGTCAAGTGATGCACAGTGTAAGTTTTATTGTTTTATACATTATAGATGTAATTTTAGTTCGACATAATATTCAGAAATTATCATTATATATCGTTTATTGCCTCTATAGTTTGATAGATAGGATTGTGTCTATACTGAAAGAGATAATTGAGAAAATATTGTGCTTCATAAAAATTAGGTGGGGACCTGTCATCTTCAATCACATTGTGACTTTCCTGTGGGATAGGAAAGAAACACTGTAATCCATGAATCTGACTGAACTCAGCTATTTCCAACTGACAGAAATAAACCAATCAACATAGAGTTATGATGCAAATTTAGCAGCAGTACTTTCTCTAGTTGAAAGCCCATGCTTCTTCTAAGGCCACTGTATTGGCTAGAGACTCGAGTAAGAAATCACCATCTCTTATCCCGTTCCCGGACTATAGTCCTGCACTGAGCGCATTCATTTGCCTGTACGATTACAACTTGGGAGAATTATCTACGCCCCTTACACTTAAGATACCTACCTCAATGCATTATAGAACTCAAGATGTAACTTCTAATATATTGGAACTGCCGATTGTCTGGGTATATCGGCAGAACGGGAACATTTTCTCTTTTTCATCGAGAGAGATTCCATCACTTTTCAAAATGGCGGTTGGATTTAAAAGGGGAATCCCCCGTTTGGCTGTCCCGGATGTAGCCCGGAAGTACCAATATGGAGGAATTTGACGGCTGAAATAAGTTAAATGTTACACGCAAATATTGCGATCAAAAACGAAAATGTCTTCGTTCTGCCGATAAACCCAGACAATTGTGGATTCAACTACACGAAAAGAATGCTAAATTACCAAGGAATCTATTGAAGTAGGTATCTGAAGTGTAAGATCAGTAAAAAATTCTCCCATGTTGTAATCGCACAGGCAAAAGATTGAGATGTTCACAGGACCATAGTCCGGGAACGGGATAAACCATCTCTTGATCTAACGATGGGCATTCATTGATGTATTAGTAGACCTGTAGTATTGTATACTAGTAATTGTAAATCAATAGATTAACTACTGTAAAACTAACAGTGTTGCCATAGATAAAATTTGTATATTCTTTAAAAAGGATATCTGCGTTAAACCATGGGCTAGCTTTCATGGTTGATAATTATAATTCAGCATTTTACTCACTTCGAGCCATGTTAGATTTTGAAACTTATGGCTCGCCCACGGAGCAATGGACAGCTGAAAAATAGTCATGGGCGGTAAGGGCTATATTTTGAGTTGGTACGCACACTCATGAATGCCTGATTGCGCTGCTGAAGGCCGTGCATCGCGGGGGTCGGGGTATGCTCCCCTGCGAAATATTTTTCAAGGACGTGATTTGATGGAATCTTAGCGTTTTTATCAACTTTAAATGTTGACAATGGTAAACATACAGATATGGTAGGAAGCATCAATAAATTCGCAAATAAATTAATGCATTTTAACAGATTTTTAATTTTTTTCAAATTCATTTGGTACGCCTGTGTGTATTTTGCATAATAGGCGCTACGCCCATGATAGTGACCTTTCAAACACGAATTAATGTTATCAGTGGCTTACTTTTGTTCTCATTCACCATCATCATCCATCCTTGCAAGTATTGGAGCGCTGAATCACTTCCTTTTCGATCAAGACTTGTAATTGTTAGTTGAGGGAATGTTTTTCTGCCTAATTCCAATATGGCGTTTTTTGCTCGGACATTTTCGTAAATCTCCGGACATTGTCCGAACCTACCTCATTCTCATAATTCATTTCATTCATTGCGAATCTCAATAATTATCTAGCAAACCGCCATATTGGATTTATGTCGAAAAAACATTCACTCAATGAACAATTTACAGGTCTCGATCGAAAAAGAAGTACTTCAGCGCTCCAATACTTGCACGGAAGGATGATAATGATGTATGACACAGTTAGAGACCAAAAGTAAGCCGCTGATCACATTAATTCATGTTTTAAAGGTCACTATTATTCAGCTGTCTAGTGCGCAGTGGGAAGGGGCTAGACTAATTTGAAGGGACATAAGATTAACTGCACCGGATTTCAGGAAGATATGCTCTCTGCTGTGCTGATCAGCAGGAACATTGTTTACAAGGATGAGTCATTCAGATCCTGGTGAAGAATTTCCATATTACTCACTGTGCCTGCAGTATTCTCCTAAATTAAATCACAACCAAGAAGTAAATCCATTCATTCACATTGGCGGCTACAGTTATCTCACTCTCCTAGATTTTTTACCAACAAGCTGCAAAGTCTTATTTTACCTATTTTGGTCAAAATGTGGCATTATTTCATATATATATGAGGCACAAAATATGGCATTATTTCATATTGTAACAGTTTGGCCTATTTTTGTGGATATACGTGGTAGCGTGGCTAATAATAGGCCCACTGTTTAGTAAACGGTGTTTACTTGGTGAGTTACACGGCACACGTTAAATGTGCGATTGTCCCTAAAGAATTAAACAGACATATACAATTAAATATAAAATATAAAACAGTATATTGTGGCGTTTATAAGCCCAAATAAAGATGTACATTAAATTTCAAGTCTAATTATAAGAGTGTTACGATTTTAATATCTCTCTCAAAACTCACAACTCAAAAGTCCATATAAGCTAATAATAATCACTAAGAACACAATATCCAGAGTCCATGTAAATTGAAGCTGATGATCAATATATCACTGTTGTATCTCCAATATTAAAAGTTCATATATGTTGTAATACTTGTACGTCTTGTATTGTACTTGTAACTTGAACCTGAAATAGTAATCTCCTGGATCCTCCTCTATGTAGTGTAGTATGATTCAAATTTGATGATGTGAAATCATCTAAGTCAAACTATTGCTCCGTAAACGTAAATCTCCTGGATCCTCTTCACTGTATTGTAGTATAATTCAGCTTTGATAATGTGAAATCATCAAGTCAACTATCGGCTCGGTAAATGGCTATCTCCTGGATCCTCCTCTCTGGGTTGTAGTATAATTCAACTTTGATTATGTAAAATAATCTAAGTCAAACTATCAGTTGTGTAAACTCCTAAGTCCTGGATCCTCCTCAATGTGTTGTAGTATAATTCAACTTTGATTATGTGAAATAATCTAAGTCAAACTATCAGTTGTGTAAACTCCTAAGTCCTGGATCCTCCTCTCTGTGTTGTAGTATAATTCAACTTTGATTATGTGAAATAATCTAAGTCAAACTATAGGCTCTGCAAATGACTAACTCCTGGATCCTTCTCTCTGTGTTGTAGTATAATTCAACTTTGATTATGTTAAATAATCCAAGTCAAACTATATCAAGTCTGTAAACGACTATCTCCTGGATCTTCCTCAAAGTGTTGTAGTATAGTTCAACTTTGATTATGTGAAATAATCCAAGTCAAACTATTGGCTCTGTAATCGACTATCTCCTGGATCCTTCTCTCTGTGTTGTAGTATAATTCAACTTTGATTATGTGAAATAATCTAAGTCAAACTATTAGCTCTGTGAACGGCTATCACCTGGATCCTCCTCAATGTAGATGTATATTCTAACTTCAATGACCCAAAATCATCAAAGTCAAAATATCTCGCTGGATAATCTGCTAAGTCCTATAACGTCTTTCTCTATAGATGTATCTTCTAACTTTAATGATGCGAAATCACCAAAGTCAAAATGTCTCGCTTGATAATCTGCTAAGTCCTGGAACGTCCTCTCTGTAGATGTATATTCTAACTTCAATGACCAAAAATCATCAAAGTCAAAATATCTCGTTGAATAAACTGCTAAGTCCTGGAACGTCCTCTCTGCAGATGTATATTCTAACTTCAATGACCAAAAATCATCAAAGTCAAAATATCTCGTTGAATAAACTGCTAAGTCCCAGAACCTCTTCTCTGTAGATGTTTAAGTCAAACTATCACAATCTTCAAACTACCAAGTCCAAGGACATCTAATACACGGCATCAACTGCTAAGTCCATGTAGCCTGCTTCCTTCACAATTAAATAATAAGGCTACCTACAAATATAGCATGCACACAACGACATATGCAAAAATATAACATATGAAAATATTTGACCTCTAAAATGACTAAGTTCATTTAATGTTAAGTGATACTGATATTAAAATATTCTAAGTTCAATATTTCTCTTTCCAAAAACAACAAAGTCCAAAATAATGTTTCAACAAATATTGACTAAGTTAATTTCATACTAAGTTATACTGATGTTAAAATATTCTAAGTTAAATATTTCTATCTCCAAAAATAACAAAGTCCAAAATAATGTTTCACCAAATACTGACTAAGTCCAATAATGTTGTAAATCGTCTAAGTTCCTTGATGATCAAAATAGCTTGTTTCTCAAACACAAGTTATGTCAGCATTTCCTCTCAGTCTATGAAGGCTGGACAATACGTCTAATGCTTTGCGCTGGGGATAGCTTCACCCTGTTGAAGTTTTGTCCAGTCTTGTAGATCTCCCTTACTTCCAGTGCGATAAATAAACTAAGTCTCACACACTTAGTTGCATCAAAGTTTTCCCAAAATTCCAATCTCCAAAATAAACTAAGTTTCGCACACTTAGTTTCCTCAATCTGCCCTTGTATACTGCAAACGTATAGCTTGGCTCATCAGATGTATTCTACTAAGGTACAGCTTCTATCTTCATGTGTATACTGCAAACGTATAGCTTCAACTCCACAAAATCGACTAAGTTCTATAAAACTTAGAAGATTTTAGCTGTTTCCCGAAATTCCGCTCTGGAGGTCCTTCCTCGACAACATCTGGCATCGCACTGACGATCCTTCAACAGCGAGATACTTATATAGGCCCGATGACGTCATCGATTTTCGTACAAGATTTCAACTGTGAATTACAGCTTACTTACGCCATATTTCGCTTCAATATTGATCATACAGCAAGATTATAATATTGACTCAAGAAATACAACAGTAATTAACCACTATCTAGTCTAATTTTCCTTCGATTCAATCGAATCAAAAGCAGGAAGTAAAATAAT